AGAGTTTCAACGCTGGGAAGTCTTCGCATGATCGCCCCCCTCTTAGCCATGCGCAGGACGCCGAGAGCGAGTGTGACAGTGACAATGATAGGCAAGCCTTCCGGGATCGCTGCGACGGCCAGCGACACACCGATTGTGAACATTTCGAGAATCTTACGACCTTGGATAAGACCGATGACTACGATCAATCCAATGACACCGAAAGAGATATAACTCAGCTCCTGGCCCAAACGATCCATAGATAGTTGCAAGGGTGTTCGAGGGCTCTCGATTTCTTGTAGCGAAGCTGATATACTACCAAATTCCGTCTTGGCGCCGGTCGAAATAACGATGCCCTGACCGTAGCCTGAGCGGACTAGTGTACCCATGAAGGCAACGTTGTGCTGCTCGTTCAGCCGAATGTCAGCACCAACAGCACCGGTAGCCGGTGCATCATAGAACGGAGATCGAGGGGGTTCTACTCCTTTTGGCGCTGGAGTGGTCCCACCAGATGCGGTGCGCAGAGCTTCCGCATACTTCGCTACAGGCTCGTTCTCTCCAGTCAAGTTTGACTCATCAATGCTGAGATCTGTTGCAGCTGTGATTCGAATATCGGCGGGAATACGGTCTCCAGTAGTGAAAAGAACCAAATCTCCGGGAACAAGTTCGTTGGCGGGGACGGTTGAAGAAGCCTTGATCGCGGCAGACGCCGAGCCTGGGCTTTTGCTCCGAATTCCATCCATTTCTATAGATGAACCCACGGGCGAGGTACCACCATTCTCAGTTGCCGTGGAGGAAGCTGTTGGAAGATCACGGATCAAATGGGCATAATGGGGTACAAGTCGGCTTAATGCTTCCAACGACTTCTCCGACCGATACTCTTGAACAAAGCCAACAGTCACCACAATTGTTACCGCAAGAGTAATGCTAATGGCATCGTCATAGTTGCCCATCACAAAAGAGATTCCAGCAGAGCCGAGGAGGAGGAGAATCAGCGTCTCCTTGAATTGTTTAAGGAACCGCAGCCAGAGAGGTTCTGGCTCATCGTGGGGGAGCTCGTTCGGTCCATCTCTGGCTAAGCGTATCTCTGCCTCAGCGGGTGTCAGGCCGTGTAAAAGGGAGGTCCGTAGTCGCTCGGCAGTTTCATGAGGCTCGAGCCACGAATAAGTTGAGGTCGATGCCTAGAAGAAAACAAGACCATGTGTTAGAAACCCCATTGTCCAAGGGCGCCAAGAAGTGGAGCAAGGATATAGCACACGTAGTACATGCATCAAACAAGTATACTTACCGATGATGGAGCATTTGGCGGTCCGGTCAGATGTGTTGTGGAGGGAGGCCGAAGAAAGTCGGCGTTTGATGCATTATGCAAAGGCAATGAAGGTGTTGCGGACCTTGACATTGTTCATGCTTTGGAGGATGAATTGTTAAAGACGAGAAAAAAAGACGTTAGATATCTCGAGAAGTAATTTTCATCCCGTCTCGATAAGAATTGACTATGCTCCGACAATTCACGTTAGTTGCGATCTGGCAGCAGCTTCACACGGGGGCGGCTAGACTAACGGCTAGATTTGCGGAGTTGGCGCAAGTCGGTCGACAACAAACAAGGGACTGACAAATGACTTGAGACCAAAAATCCAATTCAAGAGAGCCTTTTGCTATAATCCAAACCGCAAATAATCCCATTCAGAGCATCGAATTTCACTTAGAAGATGCTAAGTCCCCTGATGATGCTTTACCCGTTGTGGCCTAGCTATTTCGGACAGGTAGTTTATCCGGATACTACATTTAGACTAGCGCAGCGTATCACGTGTAGGGCAGAGTATAGGATGTGCTCCATAAGAGCAATGATTTATATAAGTGTTTTCTATGGTTTTTTGAGAAATCTTTTTGGAAATTCCATTAATGACTTTTTTTTGTCTTTATCTGGATCCCAGATCATGTAGTTTTCTTGCCAACAAAATTCATTGTTGTGGTACTTCGGGCAGAGTACTGGTCTGGTATTCCTTTTGTGTACCTACACGTGACTCGACATTCCCAGCCCCCTCAATTACATCAGCAAAAATCCCGCCCGGGCCACAGCTGCCGCCTGATATTCCCACCGACGCGCATCTTCTGTACCTCCTTGGTTTCTCAGCCAACTCCAAGATATCCCTCGCGCGCACATACCTTTCCCATCTTCATCGTCTTCGATGTCTTGAATTCACGCGATCGAGTGATAAAACCTTTTATCCTTTTAGTCACATATCTATCTTTTCATACAATTACCGAGTGCGAGTCTTCGCACAAGTCAATTGTTTTCCCGGCTTCAGCGCGTCGCCCATCTGCACCTCACCCCCGCGCCGGGCGGGTCCTTATCCCCTACTGGATTTGGTGAAAGAAATTTTGCTGTTGTAAAGTATCTCGTTGCGACAAACACACCATGTTCTATTCCGAGACCCTCCTGTCGAAAACCGGGCCGTTGGCTCGCGTTTGGCTGTCGGCTAATATCGAACGCAAACTTTCGAAGTCGCATATCCTGCAGTCGGATATCGAGAGCAGTGTCAATGCTATTGTTGATCAGGGTCAGGCCCCTATGGCTCTGCGATTGAGTGGCCAATTGCTGCTTGGTGTAGTTCGAATTTACAGCCGCAAGGCTCGCTACCTCCTCGACGATTGCAATGAAGCTTTGATGAAAATTAAAATGGTACGCACTCTTTTGAATTAGTAGTGATATGGTTCAGTCTAATCATATACCAGGCTTTCCGTCTCACAAACAACAATGACTTGACTTCGACTGTCGTCGCTCCAGGTGGCATTACTCTTCCCGATGTGCTCACTGAATCTGATCTTTTCACCAACCTCGATACCTCTCTGCTCTTCCCACAAACCCTCGACCTGGAGCCTGCTGCGAAGCGCCCTGGTGGCATGGATTTTGGAAGCCAATTCCTCCCAGACAGTAGCTTCCGCCGCTCTGTTTCTCAGGAACCCGCACGCCTTGAAGACCCTTCCCTGGTTGATCTTGACTTGGGCGAGGATGAATTACCCCTTGGAAATGACCCGACTATGGAAATTGGTCGAGATGCTCCCGCGCCTCGTCCCGTGGAGGAGGATCTTTTCAATGACGCCGGAAAGTTCAACGACGACGACGATCTTGGACTGGACCTTGGAGATGATGACGCTCTCGACAAGATGGACCTTGGCGATGATGCCCACGACAATCTGAATGATCTACTCCCAGATGCTCCCATGGACTTCAACAACGATGATGACTTTGGCGGTGGTGGTGAGACGCCTCGTGCTGCCGACAATCGATTCGAACGTGACTCCGAAAGCCCCCTTTCCGATGCTGGATCTGATCAGATGAACCAACTGGAAGAGGAATTCAACCGAGACGTATCTGCAACCCCCGATGCTGTTAGCGCCCAGCAGGGTCAGCGCACTAAGCGCCAGAAGCTTATGGGACTCGACAAGGAAGTCGCAATCTCCAGCTCTAAGATTAAGGATCAGCAAAATGATCGTTCTTCCATTTTGAAGCCCGCGTCATTCTTGCCTCGCGACCCCGTCCTGCTTACCCTTATGACTCGTCAGCAGAATGGCAACTTTGTGTCTAGTGTGTTTGGCGAGGACCGTGGACGCGGGTGGGCACCCGAGCTGCGCGGCATGCTCTCTTTGGATTCCGTCAAGAAGGCCGGTGAGCTGAAGCGCAAGCGCGACAGTGGTATTTCCGATATGGATGTGGCTGCCATTGACGTTCCTGCCCTGGAGCTTGGTGACGAGGAAGCCATCGTGCCGATCGACGAGGGCATTGCTCTCGATACCACTATGAACCTGCGCTCTGAAATTGAATTCCCTGGAGATGACGAAGACCATGTCTTGCATCTGAGTGATGACGAAGGCAACAACCAGCCCATGGATGAGCTGGACGATACTATGGCGCACCCCGTGGATACCGAGCCGGTCTCAATGGGCACCAAGCACGCTGTGCATATTCTCCGCGAGAAGCTTGGTAGCTCAGCCACCCAACAGAAGAAGAGCGTGTTGTTCCAAGATCTCCTTCCCGAGCAGCGGTCTAGCAAGGCCGATGCCACAAAAATGTTTTTTGAAGTCTTGGTGCTGGCCACGAAGGATGCTGTTAAGGTTGACCAGGGCGCTAAGTCTATTGGTGATCCCCTCAAGATCGCTGGCAAGCAGGCACTTTGGGGCTCTTGGGCCGAGGAGAACGCGTCGGGTGCCATGAGCCAGCTTAGCCAGGCTCTGTAGAGGATGTGTCCTCTTGATCAAAATTTCTGGGATCTATTGGCGCATCTTTCTCTTCTTGTACAGCTCAACTTGGGATGGAATATTTCGATTTGAGATCAGGTGTTTTCTTTGGGGATAGTGTTCAATTGAATGACTATCAGGAGTTTAGGGATGGCTTGGAGACATAGGACCTTGGTTACTGTTAGGGTTTTTGTTTGGGCACCTGGTTCCTTGGGAGCGTTGATGAATTGATTCTGTTGCGTAGTAGTGTTAGCTCTAGCTTAATTGAACATATCTCTAACTCAAGCATGTTTTATTTTTGTCTAGACCGTGTCAAATCGGAGAATTATGTGGCTCGTACCACATGGTGCAACGTTCCCACGTGCCTACGTTCTTGGCGCCCGATAACAACCAACTGTCCCAGTTAAAAGACAATGTGTATTGTAGAATCTACGTAAAACCTAGATATAATTATCTATATAAGATTTACACTTGGCAATGTACAAGGCTACCAATTGGCTATACGGGATCACTCCCGAGGTCGGCTTCGAGAAAGCGGAATTAGGACCCCGTGAACTAGTTTATCCCCGGGGTCGCCTTGATTGATCAGCTCGGACTTTCGATTTCTATTTTAGACGCTAAGAACAATTCCCCTTCTTTTGGAAGATACTGACTCACATATCCACCAGTCGATACATATACCTAGGTAGCCCCAGACCGTTCGTTTTGTTTTTATGACTTCATCGCTAAAACAAAACAAACCAGATGAGCAAGTCTGACATTTGACCGTATGCCAATTGACCATGTCTCCAAGTACAGACACATCGCAGCCGGACCTCGGCGAAGAAAAAGCCCATATTGGCCCCCAAAGACACTCGAGCGATAAGAGCGACGACGTATTCGACCGCACCAAATCCGATGATGTGACTTATGCCCCGATAAACTCCCCGAGTACCCACAATGAAGGCAACACACCACTCCAGAAACAGCGCTCGAATGCGTCTAAATCGGTCACATCCAAGTCCCTGGAACGCAGCTGGTCATTGAACGACGGCGTCAGCATTGGCGGCCATGAAGTCGACGAGGCCGCGGTGGCGAACCAGGATGAAGCATATACTGTGGGCTGGGAGGAGAACGATCCTATGAATCCGCGCAATATGAGCAAAGGCCGACGGTGGTTGGTTGTCATTATTGTCTCAATGGGTTCGCTTTGCGTGTGAGTATACGGCCGGTTTTGTCTCGCTCTCTCTACATCGCATAGATGCTGATCTACTGCATGTAGGACTTGTGCCTCTTCGATCTATACTACGACATATGCCCAATTGATGAGTGAATTTGGGTGTTCGCAAGAAGTTGCGACTCTCGGATTGTCTTTCTTTATTTGGGGTCTTGGTTCGTGCTGATATCGTCGTCTTTCGCGGGCCGGACTGTATTGACCCTTTTCGATTTACTTATAGGTATTGGACCGCTATTTCTCAGCCCATTATCGGAGGTAAAAAAAAAAAGTTTCGTAAGGAGATATTTAATTTACTGATCTGATTTTGGCTTAGTTTTATGGCCGGAGAAACATTTATATTTGGTCTTTCAGCCTTTTTCTTGTTTGGATCATTCCATGCGCATTAGCCAAGAACACCCAAACCATGATTATCGCTCGGTTCTTCAGTGGACTGTCAGGAAGTGCCTTTTTGAGTGTTGCTGGAGGTACTGTCGGTGATATGTTTGATCGCCATGAGCTTGCCTTCCCCATGATGCTTTACACTGCGAGCCCCTTTGTGGGACCTGAAGTCGGGCCTCTAGTTGGTGGCTTCATCAATGCATTTACCACATGGTATGTTTTTATATTGAATTTTGGTATAGATTGAAGCTTATACCCCCGCAGGCGTTGGACGTTTTATGTGCTCCTGATATGGGCCGGAGTGATGCTCGCCTCGATGATATTCTTGGTTCCAGAGACCTACCACCCAGTGTATGTATCTCCAGATCCTGGAATGATCGCAACGCTAACCATGTTTTAGACTTTTGAGGCGCAAAGCGGAGAAGCTGCGCCAGGAAACCGGGGATGAGCGATGGAAAGCTCCGATCGAAAAGTTGCAGCGTTCTGTGAGCCAGACCGTGCTGCTCTCCATGAAAAGGCCAGTTCTGCTCTTAGCATTGGAGCCAATGTGTCTATGCCTTTGCATTTTCTCGGCTATCCTGTTGGGTATCCTGTACCTCTTCTTTGGTGCTTTCCAGCTAGTCTTCTCAGAAGTTTATGGGCTAGTAATATGGCAGCGTGGATTGTGTTTCCTTGGTTTGTTTATCGGAATGGTTATAGCCATTTTGTCAGATCCGATCTGGCGCCGAAATTACGTTCGCCTAGAGCGTAACCATGAGAAAGCCACGAAAAAGCTCGATGACTTCCAGCCGGAGTGGCGACTGCCCCCAGGTAAGCTTGTCAACAAATTGTTCAGGTGCCAAGGTTCCAAGAAAACAATGGCTGACTTTGACGGAATAGCGATCCTGGGAGGACCCTTGGTTACTATAGGACTTTTCATCTTTGCTTGGACAATCTACCCTAATGTCCATTGGATTGCGCCTATCATTGGTAGTGCTGTTTTTGGTGCAGGGTAAGATCAACCTCGCAATCTCACCTGGCTGGACGATGATCCATTGGTATGATGCTAATTGATTGTGTTACTGTCAGGACAATCCTAGTCTACTCGGGCATTTTCACATTCCTAGTCGATGCGTATCCAACTTTTGCCGCCAGCGCTCTGGCAGCGAACAGCTTCACCCGCTCATCCTTTGGAGGCATATTTCCACTATTTGGAATGCAAAGTAAGTCTGTTTGTACTGTCTCCGTGGCGCAACAAGAATTGGAAGCCCGTACTTTGCATGCAGTGCATCTTTCCAATGCGGGTCGATGCGTTGTATTCTGAACCGGTCGATCTGTAGCTCTTCCTGCTCTTCCTCAATGCTTGACACTTATGTTCTTGCCTATATATAGTTGAGACGTAACGATTATGACTAACGGCTATGCAGTGTATCACAACCTCGGATATAACTGGGCAACTTCCTTGTTGGCGTTCCTGACCCTTGTCATGACCCCTTTCCCGTAAGTGCTGGTTTTGACGTACTTGATGTACTTTTACATTATGCCCGACCTATTTATTATTCCAGTTGCATGTGGCTCTGACGACAGAGAACTCAACATAAGCTGTTCTGTCCACTGTTGTACTGACATTCATAATAGGTACCTATTCTTCCGGTATGGGAGCTGGATCCGAAGTAAGAGCCGATTCGCGAAATCCCAGGCGTGATCGATCCTTCCGTACACATATAATACGCGTACATACATTAATCTTAAGCGGGTTGGCTGCTGGCTGGATGGCTCCTTTGCGAGGGGAGCCAGATGCCTACCCTCGGTGCCATTGCACCTCAACAGTGTACCAACCGGTTTGGTCTGAACACGGTGTGCCGTAGGCGATGAACACGGCATCCCATGACCAGATGTTGGGAACCTCCTGGGCTGAGACGTTTTGGCTTGGGGATGGGTCAGCACCTGGCCTGCAACCATAGATCAAGACCTAACGCCTGTAGCTGCTGTACCGTCTGCAGTTCAAAAGCCAATACAGAAAACCATAGTCATTAATACGCATGATCGGCAAGGATATATGCTTCATATCCTAGCTCTACTTGATTCCATCTGTAAACGTCTGTAAACATCTTGCATAGTCGGTCTGGCCATTCCTAACCCCGGCAGACCGTGAATCCTTCGATACTACTAGCGCGCTTGACCCAGGAATAGATAGATCCCACTTTAAGAATAGAATTGGACGGACCTGGCCCGGGCATTAATTCTCCGACGGCAACCCCCAGTCTACTGGGCCAGTTGCGAAGCATACGAGCGTCATGTGGTCTTGGAATACAGGCACAGGCAATCATCCCCAACCAACTTACCCCCGGCTACAGACAGACATGACAATCCCTTCTTTGGAGTATAGCTACCGTCATAGCTGAAATATTGAGAGCTTTCTAGCCTCGGCAGAGCCAAACCCAGCCAGCCTCGGAACAAAACGGGTCGGAGCCGAGAACCGTGGAAGGTCTGGAGCGGGGTTTTTCGGAATCAATTCGCCTGTGGCAGAAGAATAATGACTCAATTGGAGATACTTGCATTCAACGTTCATGGGTAATTCATAAGTCAAAAGAGAACAAGGTATACAACCGACCTGGTTCCTGCACGTGCGCAATTGCCCCCGCGGGGTTACTAATAGTATAGGTCATCTGGTATGCGCGGAACCCGATCTGGCGCAGGATTCCAATACAGCCAATCAGAGCTCATAAACGCGCTTAAATTACCTGTTGTTTCCAGTAATGCTGTGAAAGATGTAATACTTGGCAAAATCAAATGCCGGGCTTCCAGTCCAGTGACCGTTGCCCTGAACGTCAGCATGTGAATATGATGTACATATATAGCTCTTTAGTTCTTTTATTGAAGACGTTGAAGGACAATATTTACTCTATGCTCTAGAAATTCATGATCAGAGATAGCTATAAAATTAAAACACGCCCAACGAGGGATTAATACGTTGGGTAGCAAAAAAAAAAAAAAAAAAAAGAAAAAGAAAACCCTCAGTAAAATTAATTAGGTAAAATAGTGGCTGTTTTACGAAGTATAGCCAGCCCTGCCTAGGTGCGCCTTTTTTAGAAGTGTAAAATATAGTGCGAAATTTTTAAAAGAAATTGGGAAATAAATATAGGAAAAAAAAAAAAAGAAAAAATAAGATTAAAAAAACTGTATTCCGTCACTCACGCGAGTCTCATTTAGTCCTTTACCAATCCTTTACAATTGGACTGTGTCGTGTTAACCTTGGGAAGTGTGCTGCTTAGACACCCAGTCACGGGAACACTCCGATCGAGAGAGAGAGAGAGAGAGCCGTTCTTGGGAGTCATCCACTTCTTCTTTGACCTTCCCCGCGAATAATATTTGCCTCAACTTTCTTTCTTTCTCCAGCTTCTCGGCCTCCTATCGGCACGGCTCTCGCGTTTGGAGAGGAATTCATATCTTCCCCGCAGCCGAACGAACTCGTCCACCTCTCCACTCCCACTTCAACCCCGAACCGTTGCGGGATTTTTCTGTCAGCTTTGCGCCAATTTCTCTCCATTTACAACCCACATTGAAATCCTTCAATGTGTCAGATCATCGTACATCCGTCACATCTCCAGTCGATTGTCCCCCGTTACACCCGTGACTCGACTCGCCGTGATTCCGGTTCCGATTCCCCGCCGACTGTAGTCGCAAACGCGCGATTATAGGAACCACGAACTGGAGGCCCCTCCGACCTTCGAGAGGTGACTTGGGTGAATTTTAAGTCTCAACACGGACGATCAGCAATTTGCGATCGTTCTTTTTTCTCTGTCACAAGCTGGGTTGAATCTTGTGCACGTGGATCCGCTGGCCCGCCGAGATCGCAGCGCGGATGGTCTCATCGGTATTGTCGCCACCACGATTTGTTTCTTTAGATAAACACAGGAAGGAACGGAAAGTGGTTTACTCGGTTTGAGGCACCGATTTACCTCACTTTTGTGGACGTGTCCATAGATCACCGTGCTCGGGATACATGCCGAAATGAACATGGAGGCCAAGAACGGCTCCCCGGTTCCTGTACGGGACTACAGTGGGGATCGTGACTCCGCTGATATCACGGAACACGAACAATCGCACGTAAAGCCCAAGACTAATGGCGATAGCAAAGCGGATCGCAAAGCAGCCAATGCCAAGGATCCCTCCCGACCGCGACGGAAGAAGGCTCGGCGAGCTTGCTTTGCATGCCAACGAGCTCATTTGACTTGCGGTATGGCGATAGATTGATCCCAGCCCTTATTATATATCTGACTAATATATATTGGTTTTAGGCGACGAACGACCGTGTCAACGTTGCATCAAACGTGGGCTTCAAGATGCTTGCCATGACGGTGTTCGCAAAAAGGCCAAGTATCTCCATGATGCTCCCGATGGGGCGTTGATGCCAGCTATTAATAGCAGCAACAACACCAATCTATACAACAACACGCTCCGCAATAATCTGCCTATATCTAGAAATGGCACAAATGCCGTCAGCTCCAACCAGCAACACAGCCAACATAGTCAACAACACAGCCATCAACATAACCAACAACCAACCAATCCTACGAATAACAACTTTTACCCTACACCCCAGACGCAGGCAGGATCTTACAATCCCTACCAAGAATCCTCCATGAGCCAAAGCCCGTTTACCACGCAATCACCCGTTTCACCCACTTTTAACATGAAGAACAGCACCAACGGTCGAAACCCGAGTCTTTCATCGACTGTAAACCAGCAGCCTACCCCAGGTGCTCTCTCTGGGGATACAAGTCAGTCTCAAAATCCTTTTGCAGGGCCATTTTTTGATCCTAGTGATCCAGCGCTCTTCAACTTCGACCTATCGAGCATGAACTTCGAAAATCGATACGGTGCTCTGGAATTCGGCATGCTTGGGCATATGGCTACCGGGGCGGCTGGTGACTCTCCGACTGATTCTGCAGGACAGCGAGGGTCGATCGGCCGCAGTGGGTCTGCCCAGTTCTCCACACCAGCTCCTGGCTTCGGAGAAAGCCCAGGGAATCAACCTTTCATGTTCGGTGATCCTCTCCTAAACGAATGGTCGACCGGGCCTGCCTCGGGCCAGCATGTGAATGTTGGCGGTGTGTATGGCCAAAATGCCATGCTCCCTGAACACATGAAAGCAAACGCACCACATGCATTTGCAATTGAAAGTGGACCAGCAAGCTTCACTAGCCCTGGCTCGGCCCCAAGCCCGAATATTGCAACGGCTGCATTCGACGACGGCCCATTCAATAATATTGCTCCTGCTCCCAAGTCCAACAGCCTGGTGCCAAATGGACAACGCCAGGTGACGTCAGCATCGATCTTAAAGCACCCAAATCTGCAGGTTGGTCCTAAACGGCGCCACCGCAATCCTTCTTCAATATACGAAAGCGTGAAGGAGCCCTATGCTTACACAAGTGGCTTCCACAATCTGACTGCTTTCATCCAACGTCGCTTTTCGCCGCAAAAGACCGTACGAATTGCCAAGGCGCTTGCATCTATTCGACCCTCTTTTATCGCAACTACTAAGACCCTTAATCGAGATGATCTCATCTTCATGGAAAAATGCTTCCAACGAACTCTCTGGGAGTACGAGGACTTCATCAATGCATGCGGAACACCGACCATCGTGTGCCGACGCACCGGCGAGATCGCCGCCGTAGGCAAGGAGTTCAGCATCTTAACCGGATGGAAGAAAGACGTGCTTCTAGGAAAAGAGGCAAATCTCAACGTCAACACCGGTGTTTCGGGCGTACCCCAGTCCGGAACAACGTCACGCGGCAGTTTTACACCGCGCGGCACAACATTAGAGAATTCTGGCACTGGACGCCCCCAGCCGGTATTCTTGGCCGAACTTCTCGATGATGATAGTGTTGTGGAGTTCTACGAGGACTTTGCGCGTCTGGCATTCGGCGATTCTCGTGGTAGTGTCATGACTCGGTGCAAGCTGCTCAAATATAAGACTAAGGAGGACATGGAGGTTGCACAGTCTGATGATAACGGAAAGTGGAGCAACCACCTCCGCAAGGGTGGCATTGCTGGCGAGGCTGGCATGAATCAGCTCGGATTCAAGGACGGAAAGGTCGAATGCGCGTACTGCTGGACAGTGAAGCGCGATGTGTTCGATATCCCGATGCTCATTGTGATGAATGTAAGTCTCTTAAGATCGTATAACCTCTCAGATTTCTGCTCATGCTAACTCGCTATCTTCTAGTTCTTGCCATGTATTTGATTTCTTTCTTTTTTTTTTTGGATTTGTTACGTGCTCTTGTTTCAGATTACCCTTTCATACCCTTGACAAGGCCTAACATCAGGCCTGTCTTCTTTTCTTCTGCTGTTCTATCCAGTACATATTTCCTGGTTCTGGGATTGTATGATTCCCTTTGATGTTGATTTCATTCGGGCCACTGACCGGCGGGGTCTTTTTTTGTTCTATGTTCTCGTATATACGTTATGCTTCTTGGATTCCCGGAACCAGTTCCAGGATTGTCGATATGCTTTCTTGTTTTATTTTCTTTGCGGCGCTCAAAAGGGACAAAAAATGATATCTCTGGGACGGGATCGTTACTGTATGAGCATAATGCCATGATATTGAGTGGGGTCATTCTGACCTCGTTGAGCTCTGGACCATCCGTGGATCTAAATTTAAACAAAGAAATAAGCTTAATCTAACCTTGGAATTGCATGTGAATCGATGCCTGATAGAAAAGGCACGTTGCGCACTCCGGAACACATCACTAGTTAACTAGTAAATGCGGTAAATGTACAACTTGATATCTCAACAACGGTGGCCAATTAGGGCTTTTCCTTCCATGCTAATGCTTTTTGGGTGGTATTTAGCGCTTCTAGGGAGTCTGGAAAAAGTTTATGACTTGATAATCGCGATATATATATATTCAGCTTTTTGAAACAAAATTTTCGGTAATCTTCGAGACGATGATTATATAGCCTTCTACTTTCTCCGAGATTAATATAGTGTTATTAAGTCTTATCGACCGCTATCGGCTCACAATAAAATCAAATCAAATCGTGGTTTTAAGATATCGAGTTGTACTTTACCGCATTTACTATTCCGGACTGCGCAGCTCGCCGGGAAATATGTTAAATCCTTATCGCGATAACCCCCACCACACCAGGATTCGGTCATATTCAGACACACTCAACGCCAGCATCACGCCAAACTACTGCTAAATCACACAATCAGTACACACCAGACGAAGCAATACCATTGACAGATATATCTGTGCCAATATTCACGCTTCACTATACCCTCACCCGAACAGAGTCATGTCCAAGCCGCGCGATCCGGTAGCTGGCCCCAACGCCCCCGAGCCGCCTTTTCCCATAAGACTGTCAGGTCCAGTAATCAAGGGGTTTGGCCGCGGGAGTAAAGACGTAAGTCCATGAATCTGGGAACCCAACCTCGCTGCCATAATCGCACAGCGCAACAGATACAACAACTTACCACTGACTCATTTTCCCGGATGGATATAGCTTGGAATTCCCACCGCCAACATCCCCGCCGATGACCTATCCGAGAAGCACCCCGAGCTGACAACAGGCGTCTACTACGGCGTTGTAGCGCTCGACCCGAAAACATACCACCACGAGACATCCGAAAGCAGCGCATCCACAGCGGTGGTTCTCCCTGCTGTGCTGAGTATTGGATATAACCCTTTCTATAAGAACACCGTGCGATCTGTGGTATGTGACGTGATATATAATAAACCAGGGGAAATGCCGCCAAATAATGAAACCCGCATTTTGGTGGGGCATCGGTGTCGATATCAGACTGACGCGGTTGTTCACTCCAGGAAATCCATATCATGCCCGCTCTCACGGAACCATCGCCCACCGCTGCGGGACAGGAGGGTCATACTAAATTCAATCGCTTGCCGGATTTCTATAAAACGCGACTCAACCTGCTGATTCTGGGTTATATCCGGCCGGAGTTTGATTATGTCTCACTGGAGGCGTTGGTAGAGGATATTCGGGTGGATTGTGAGGTTGCGCGGGAGAGTTTGTTGCGCGAGGCTTACAAGTGTTATCTTGTTCACAATGGTAACACATCTGGGAAAGTCAGTGAGGATCGTGCGTGGCTGGTGAGCTTTGATTAAGTGGGGTCAGATATGGATATCATGCCATTCGGGGTTGGTGAAATGATTATCCTGCATTGCGACTATTCTTATTCTATCTGTAGCGCAGATCATTTTGCTGTATAGACAAAGAGGAAGCATCTTTCTGTTGACGTGTCATCTGATTCTACTAGATGCGTCTTCCAAGCATGAAGATGTGCCGAGGTGCAGTTTAGGGGGATTTCTCTTACTTTCACCTATTTGAAATACATAGACCGATAATAAAATCAATTTGCCTTATATTCCTCATACACCCCCATCCCCCCGGGTCATATTTTTTCGGCATGTTCGATATGCTGGCCATCGCCAGGTTCAATAGCGTTCTGTCCACTGCTTTTATAGAAACTGTCCCCTCCACCTAAGGTTTGAAATTTGACACATAGCCATATCTTCTACCATAACGTAGTAATCTAGAGAGAAGAGAATAACCTGGTGTCTGTTGATAGGAAAGTTGAAACGGAGCCTAGAAGACCCCAAGAGTGGGTATGAATTGATGTGTGATTAATACGGCGCGAACGACGGACTGGATTCTTAACGACACCGTTCTGCTTTTTCCCATTTATTTTATCAACCGGGAAGGGGGAGACAACATCGGATGGTGGAACTAGCAGTGGAGTCGTTGTCCATATCCTTTTGGGCACCGGCTTTTGTGGGACTTTCCTTGTGTCCGGCGGTACCCTTGATGAGAGCACCAACAACTGTTGCGTTCTTGGGTCCGGTAAGCTCGGAATCAGCAGGAACAAACAGATTCACACATAGATTAATGCCAGAATTCTTGTAGGCATGATACGGGTGAAGGGACTCAGACTTCACTATAGCCCAGGGAGAAAGTTTTCGATCGGTTATTAACGAACGGCCTGAAGGTCGGCTTGACATACGACAACTTGATCAAATTTGGGTTCCATCCTAGTGACGATCCTTCTGTAGGGGCTGCGTGCTCGGAGTAAATTGTCACGTAGGTTTGACTTTGCAGTACACGCATCTACCAAGATGTCAACGACGGGTAAGTTCACTACGCATAGCACGGATTTTCGTTCCAGAAAGCTGACTTTTCAATCTTAGATACTTAGTACAATGGGATGCCTCCGACTTTGAGCCGGGAATTGATACTGTGAGTATCATCCCACCTAACTCAGTGCAGGAAAAAAATAAATTATCAAGTTATAATCAAATAAGAGAGTTATAGTAATCCAAAAGGTAAATATAAGTAATAATATATAATTAAAGACAAAGAACTAAACTAAGTATATAAGGGAGTGTCCTTATATATCCTTCGTCTCCTACTCCCTACGTAACTCCCGTAGAGTTACCGCTAGAGTCACTATATACTCCTAGATATACTCCCGTAGGGTAGATCCTAGAGTTATAGTTACGTAGTCCGTAGTTCCTAAAGCGCTATTTATATAGTAGACTTTATCCGGTATAGATAATTATATCTATAGCGGGAAACCTCTAGCGGGTAGATCCGATTAAGGTAGGTTATACTCTTACTAAGTATGATCACGGTTTCTCTTTTCCTAATATCTAGGCACTCTAGAGTATAGGATATTATACGTGATCTGATTGACAGATCTACTAGTTAGCTCTCGGTAGCCTACCTGTGTGCCTGGTGGGTCACCATCGATTGGTGACGGGTAGGTCCATAACAACTAGCTACTAATTTTATTTTTATAATATAAAGTAGCTCTATCTAATCTTTAACAGTAGGAATACTCTACCTACTCCTTAAAGATAACTAAATAGATAACCCTTAATAAAAGTATTCATCGTACAAGGAAACCTTAGATAGGAATCGTTTCGATATTATATAAGCTTATTAAAGAAGTCTAATCTATAGCTACTTTAGATTAAACTACCTCGTCGATTATAAGGTGTTTAGTATTCTACTAGAGAGGTCTAGGCTTAAGCTATATAATAGGTTGTCTTACTCCTTTTTAGTCGATAGAAATAAACGCTACTATTATTACTTTTATTAGATATATACTTATCCTAGTTTCGCTTCCTATTCGAAGAGACTATTTGTATTATTAAGATAGAGTCCTTCGTTCCTCGCTCTTAGGAACGGTAGTTAGAGATAACGACCGACGGCTAGTCTAACACTAGAGCTGTATCTAACACTAGATAGAATCCTATAAATTCAATATGGATATGTCCTATATTGAAGGTATTCCTTAAGAATGTAGTCTTTAGCGGTATGTACTTGGAGACGGTTGAAAAAATATGTTTTGTTTTAAACGGTAGCTGGAATGCTCTTAGTTTTGCTTTCTCAAAGCCCGTACTTTACTCCAGTATACTTGGATCGCAGCAGGAATACTTCCCGGATATCGGTCTAAAAATAAGGTCGTCACCTCCGATCATGGTGGTTGCTCGTCTCTTCTTAACTCCTGCAAAAATCCAACCTCCTCTGAAGACCACCGCAAGCGCCTCCTGGGCTTTCGCTGGGCTTCATTGCGGCTGTCAGGAGATGGCGAGTGTCGTGGCAGCTTGGTCGACCGCCCGTCTCCATCCTCACAGGCTGTAGATATATTTCGCTTATTGCGTTTTCTGCGTCCCACCTGTCGCGAGCATTCATTCTATGACTACCGTCTAATAATCTTCAGCGAATCCGATTTATCCTTGAAGCCTCCCTCGAACGGTGCAGCCTCGGACACTGGCTGAGACACGAAGAATTCCCTGGCCATGTCGAATGCTTCAGGAGGGGTGGTCCAAAGGCTGGTCGTCGTGTTCTAATGGTGCACGGGTGGGCCAAAGGATCACGAGTGGAATATTATACCCTTCCGCATCTTCACGGCTTAGCGACTACGAAGGGGAGAAGATCCTTATATGAGATTCCCCAATCCGAGCTGGATCGCATGGGCTCTAAGCCCGAGGTGAAGGATTTCCAGATGGTGGCTTGTAAGTAATGGCTCTATATTAAAGTTCATGCTCTAACAACTGCAGGGTGATTCTAGACGCTAGACTCGGGAGCCTGCGAATCAACTTCCAGCCAGGCATGGCCTTCAAACTATTAGCCCATACAACACGTCAAACTAGAATGAACGACAACTCACCATTGCGCATCAGCCACCGATTAATAAGACGCCAGAAGGTTGTTTACCCCATAGGTGAGATGGTTCCATGATGACAAGACCGGAAAATTTGTCAGGATTTGCAGGGCAACGAAGAAGCAGACGCGTGCAGAACGAGTGAGCAACGGCAACGCCGGTCATCAAAAATTCATTGGAGACGTAGTCATGGACAGGAAGCAAATAACTGTGATAGAGGTCATGTATCACGGCTTTGGATGTTTCGGTTTCGGGGAGGAAAGAGACAATTAGCTGCGTGACTCGAACGTGCATTCCGTGTTCTTCTTCAGTTGCCATCTTGGCTGATGTCCTCTGTTCGTCCAAATTATGCTAAGATTGTTGTTTGTCAGTTTTCCAAGTCCGAGATGGAGTCCAGACGTAGAAACGACTCACGAACTAGGGCCAACAGTGACACGTGATGAATTGTGTACGGTTGAGTCAATGTCGCGTTGGCTCGAACTTACTAGGCTGGTGTTGAGAAGCAAAGAAAACACTGAAAGGAGAAGAGAGGATTGAGGGAGAACAAAAACGGATAGTGAAATAGTCGAAGAGGAAAGGTGGGAGGGTGATGGGTTGGAAGCAGCTGCGACAAACAAAACGCTAGACCGTGCCTCTCTCAAAGCAGAGACATTTAGAAGACCAAAAGAGATCAACACATACATTCCTTGCCAAACTGGGAAATAAATATAAAGTAGATAAACCATGTTCGTGACCTGGATCAGTTTGATACTCTACTGTGGGATTGACGCCGAAAATGACCGCTGTTGAGACTAGAAACGGCTGCCATTTCCATCCGTACCTTTGGACGTCCAGCCGCCCCTTGGCCGCCAACTGCCCTTTTAACACCACTATTTTGCACCCGCATAGCACTGTTAGCCATCCTCCGGTCCTGATGTTGACGCTCGACTTACACAGCTGTTCCCCTCATTTCCACTAGCGACCAAAACGACGCCAAAAATGGCTGCCCTTCAGCCAAATCTATGTCCCCTTTCTTTTCGCCCAGTCCAGTTAAGCGCCTATAATATGCAACTTCTTCTCCCTTCCGGTGTTTTTACACCTATTCTCGCGAATCCTCGTTGGTGAGATGCGAAGCATCGGACGGCTCGAGACAGGCCACGTTTAAAGAGAAGACTTACAAAGATCACCGAATAGGAGGCTACTACGGAGTAAGACTTAACCCAATTTAGGGAACGAAGACGCTGTGCTAATGAAATAACACCTCACTAGGTTTTGGATCCCTAAAGACGCCTCTGCAAAGCTCGCGTGTAGTATCTATAGAGTACTGTACCAGAGCTTGGAAATATCGCTATAGAAGAATATTTGATAAGGGAAGAGTTTCTTGGGATATCTACTGATTTGAGAGCACATGGGTTTCATGGAGAAAATCTCAAGCGCGGATCAATAACATAAACCTCATTTCATGACAAGAATTGTCTCGTGTAGGCCGTCATGAGAGATTGTAGTCAAGAGTTTGGGGGTCTCAAATCTCCACTACATAAATATATAAAGTTATAATCTGTCTGCTATTGTTCTTTAGCTATCTCTCTATAAGGGTTTGGCTTACAGTTAGAAAAATACTACAGTTTAGCTCTGCTGTCGATCGTCCCGCTAAGAGTGTTAAAAGCTTCTAGCTATTATTCCCTATTTTATTATAAATATTAACCTTTTTTTTGGAATTCGGGGTCGTGGCATGGAGCTTCTATTATGTTTAAATACAGCTCGAAAGTTTCACAGAGGATAAGGAAACCTACTTGCCGGGTTTATCCGGATAAAGGTAGGAAGTACAAAAAATGCTACACGGTTGAAATATTGATAACCAGGGGCATGGAAAGGAGATAAAAAGGCTGGATTCAGAGTGAGGATCATCGTTCTATCTTGTTTTCCATAGTTCACATGTCAAAAAAAAAAAAAAAAAAAAAATCTCAACTGATTTTCAGTCCAGCCTCAGACGATCCCACCGCATTCTTATTTTCCGCATTTTCCGCAAGCCCAGTACCGAGCCCCTTAACATTAACTATTTTCCCGGCTAAATCGACTTTCATACTTGTGACTTCCTTCCCTGCCCCTCCGTGGGATTGTAATTCTAGTACTTTGTCCACCACACTCGCACTCATGCCCCCGCTATCCGCCACAGCAAGATCTGGCTCCAATTGAACCACAGAAGTCCGCCAGACGTATTGCACCGAGCCTTTCCTCTCTGGTCGCCACATCTCCTTCCCCGGAGGACTCGTGAAAGCTACGATGAGCCTACTAAAGCTCTTTCCCTCGATCTTCAGATCCTCTCCCTGGATAAGTATCACGTGGAACCAGTCCTGCGCCGCTATGATCTTGTGTAGTTCCTCGACACTAAGCTCAGGCGTCGTGGCGAGATTGGCTACCAAAGTAGAGGCTTGCAGATCGAGCTGGAATATGGACTCAGTTTGATGAAAGCGGTAATTTGGCGGTTTTCCACTAAGGAAGTAGGCAACATTCAGGAAGGATAGAATGTTTGTAGTGCTAATTAAGAGAGTGGACTTACCCTCAGTACGAGGAGCTTGCGGTGCGGTGGGAAGTATAAATACGGTAGCCCAGAGCTGGAAGAAAGAGAAGATGAATGAAGGCTAACCAGAGATAAGTCAGTCTGTATTGATATAAAATACCCGAAATATACTTACACATTCCGAGCAATAGGCTCTAAACTGCTCCCATGTCACATAATCATCGCTACCCGGAAATTGATAAGCCAAAAAGGCAGATGCAAGTCCGGAAGCTCGTGATACTTCGTCCGGGTCGGCAATGAGACGAGAGAACATAATATCTCCGGAGCGTTGGTACAATTCGTGATAGGACAGCCCAGCTCTCCAGCGTCTATCTTCTGCACGTTGCAATAAGAAGAGCTGGATTAAAATCTGCAAATCGGCTTTGCTTACTGCAATAGATGACCCTCTGACTGTCGACCGCTTGCGGTCAGCAAGTAGAAGGCGACCTGCAGCGGCTTCAAACTCCCCATCGGCTACCATGGCTCGTCCAAAGTGCATATTCTCAGTTATATTGGGTCGCGTAAAAGCAATAGTATCTTTGATGTCGTGAAGCTGGAGCGATTCCTCCGGATCCTGAGACTGGGTCCCTGATTGCGGCCAAGGAGTGCTCAAGCTCCTGAAGACGATACGTGTGAGTCACGGCACCTTGTCTGTGTAGACCTCTTCTGTAATTCTGGGAAATGGCCGGCCATTTGAATAGGCTCCTAAAAGCTCATAACCGCGTGAGACAATGAATGCAAATGCTCTCCTGAACGCTTTGACATCGATTTCCGGTTCGTTTGACGGTGCCGAGAAAGGAAAGTAGGCCCCGATGGAGAAAATGCACCAGAGTAGTGGTACGCAAGTAGTCACCGTTGGGTTTTCAGGTAGCCTGGCGTTAATGTATCTAGCAAAGCTATCTCTGTTCCACACGCGTTTGCCGCTGGGATTGGTCGTTGCATAGTTTGAGAAGATCTTCTCGACATATTTGATACCATCCAGCAGTTAATAAAGTGCTTTATCCAGACGGGTTAGGCAAGAAGCAGAATTGATATCTTCGAGATATCGTCGCGTCGCTAGCTCAACGGATGCCTTGCTGTGGCCGAGCAGCAATATGAGAAGGCGGTAGCGCCAGGCCATTTTCTGCTGTTGAGACCTATTATCTTTGTTTATAGCGTCAGATACCGGGAATGTCTCAGACTGCATATTGTTTTCGTTGTCGATTTTGTTGATGGTGTTCAAAAGCACTTCAGGATCACTGGCCCGTGTCAGGAAGAGGTTCGGTAGTCGTATCACGTGAATTTCATTCAACTTATGATATCCTGTGTGAAAGAATACAGCCATTTTTTCACTATACCATACAAAAACCAAAGTTCCTGTTTAAGGCCTAGGGGTGGGGGTGTTGGGGCGGGGGGACATATCCCAGTTCGACATATCCCTTTAACGGTTAGTGGACAAACTTGTCCACTTTTAGAGTAGTTGCCTTACGCATAAAGTGCAGGGAGATGAACACGAAAAGAAAGCAACTCGTGATCCAAAGGTAAACAGTTACTTCAAAACGTGTATATCATGTATAAATCTACTATGACAGATACTCCAAATGCTGTACCGGACTCTGCTGATCTTGGGGCTTTCAGGCCCAATTTTCCGCCCATTCGTGAAGTGGGCGAAATCTTCAATCCTAGACATTGACATCTCCCATGGGCTAGTACAAATTTAGTCTCTTAGTTCGCCTATGGGAGTTCCGTGGGACTCCCGTCAGTCCCGCCTAGTCTGCGCTGAATAGACTACGACATTGCCTCTCCATAGGTACCTAGAAGGTACCTATCGCCCGTCCACGGTAGGCGGTAGGCAATTTAGATTTTCGATGGCCTATCTATAATACCTATGGTCTATAGATATACCTATCACGGGTATACTTACTCCGATCTATCGATATTAAAATATAAACTTACTAGATACCTTGAAAAATATATGTTGTATTTAACAAATACGTTATTTCATCCAACACAGCTTACGGCCTAATATACTATATACTTCAAAGCAAACTAACAGTGGTATAGCATGCCCGAAGTTCGATTTCGACTTTATATACAGTATTCCAGAAGCAGTAGATTCTTGCCAGCCCTCCATCGCCTCATCAACGGGCAACAACATCCTCTTATCTACGCGGCCTCATCCGCGTATGTCTTCTTGACAAAAGTAAAGCAATTATTCTTAACCATAATGTATTTCCCCATATTCGCGAGGACCGTCTCTGACTGTGCTATAATATCGCTGTTGCTCAGGCCCGGTTTGATACGACCGAGATACTTGTAGTGCGGGAATGCATCTTCGAGGTCGGTCACCCAAGTGAGTGCCCCGGCGTGATCACCAAGGCTGCATGCGCCTGTCGGGTTCCGGTCTGGGTGTGTGTCGAAGAGCAAATCGTATTCTCCGGCAATGTACTCGCGCTTCCACGTGCGCTCGACGTGTACGACCTCTCCTGGAAAGGGGCGCATGTTAGTCTTTATTTGGAGAAGGTTCGGAAACGTTAAGTGATGATGAAATCCTGTAAGTAGGTGTTTTGTAACAAACCGCGCCCTCCCATGGCCAGTGCCGATGCGTTCTCCATACAGAATGTTCAGAGAAACAAGATTAGACTTACCGCATTTATTTGTTACTTCGTCATCATTGTAGCCAATTACGAAATAGCCCGCAATGTAAATGGCATGAGGAACTGAGAAGAAACTGGGCCGCACCTAGATAGATTGTGTTAGCCTTTTCTATGCGAGTATTACATGGGATTATCGAGTTAGGGACCTACGCTTAGTTGCATGGCGTGTCCCTCCCCGTTCCTGCTCACTGTCCACTCCTTGCTAGATATCTTGCTGGCTTTAATCAGGATCTTGAACGGAGTGGTGTCAGTGTTATAAATGTTCTCCGTCGGTATGGGCTTAGGTGCAGCCCGGATTTTGCTACCTCGTTTTGCTTTGGGTTTGCACGTAGGCTCGCTCTTGTCGCCTGAGTACTTGATTAGTATTCGCTTTCTCATCTGAACAGCTGGGAAAAATACCTGTCTTCGCTGGTGGATGATTTGAAGCGCTAGGTCTGCCGGGAACATTTGTTGGTTTTCCAGTGGGCTCATTCAATCTACCGGCTCATCTCAATCAGCGACTCTACCAAGACAGAGGTAACCTGGGATAATCATCTAAATGGTTATTCATCACTCACGACACTGTGTGCTTTTTCCCAAACACTTTGAACTCAGCAGAACCCTCCTTGACGCAACCTTGTATGATCGCTGGTGTTGCGGCAATTTCAACGAGATCAGCAATCTTACCAAAAATTGGGATAAGGTCATCAACAGCTTCCAAAGGCGCCAACAGAGCAGGAACAGAAACGCGACAGAAAGCTTTGGCTGCGATATCAAGCGCAGCCTGCTGAGCGGCAGCCTCCGCAGCGGCTTTTGCAGCATCTTCGAGGTCATGTTTCAGCGAACTAGTAGTGGGCTTGAAGTTCGCGCAGCAAAAACTCTGGGCGCCTCCGTGACGGTTTTTTTCGCCCTTTTTGGTATGCTGGTTGGTGTTAGTTGTGAGCTCTGTTCTCTCCAGAAGCACACTCACTGGTGCAGCTTAGACCTGCTCCTCTGTACCCGCGCCAAGTGCATGTCCCCACCTGCGTTTTGTCGTCACAAATTATGCGATGTAGTATGTCGTGTCTTCCAGGGAAAAGGCTTAGAACATAATTTCTATACACTTTAAAATTAGCGTTACAGATGATGTCTACCCGTCAAACTTCCCTTACCTTAACCTGTTCCCGTGGCCAACGACTTCAGCTCACCACTGTGCAGTTTGGCAAGCAAAGTTGAAGCCAAGCATGTCGTCTAGGTAGCGCTTAGCTCATGATTTGCTGAGATCTCCTATAGGTCAAAATATTTGGTATGCATTAGTACGAAATGGCTGCCATAGCTCAGATGTCCCAATGTGACTCGAAAGGGTTGCAAAAAGTGGGCTTTAAGATCAGTGAGAGGATTCTTAGAGTTCTTCTGTCATTTGGTGTTCGTTCTTCTCCAGGCGAAGTTCGTCTTGCGGCTTTAGGATTGTTTTTTGTGACACGGCTACTTCACAGCTAAGTGCGGTTCAAGGCTTTTTGTAAGCGTAATCCTAGTACTTCATTAGCCACAGAAGAAGGGGGTCTTTCGAGGTGCTCATACCACATCAGACCGCGGTTCTGCTCTTTTTCGTTTTATTGATGTACCATCGATTGATCCAGCGGACACTCTCCGTCGTGCCACTAGTCGCCATACCAAGGGGGAGACTCGGGAGCCCCCGTGGGTCCGCCACTCCACTCGGCATACAATCACAACTAATTTATCGCCACCAACGTTCTTTTCAAGGTGTACCCAATGGCCGGTGTGCCCGTACAGTCGTTCTCCGTCTCAGTTTTTTTAACATTGTACCTCGACTTCGCTGACAAAGAGTAATATGCAATTTGATGTGTGTCTTTTACTGATGTAAGATATTCTCGGGTGAATACCCGGAAATCTGCACGCAGATCCCCATTTCTGACATCATGCGCTGTGAGCCTTATATCTATTGTCGTATTTACTATTAACTAGTTAACTAGAAGACAAGAATATCGCCTTTTTTCAGGTTGACGTTGATGACAGATTTTTTCCAGCCCTTTTTATTCTTTTACCTGCTTATGGTTCATTCCTCCATCCCAAAATTCACAGTTTATCCCCTTCCGCCATTTTTCTCAACGCCCTGATTGTCCCTTGAACCGAGGATATCGCAATCTTCTTATGGTCATCCTCCGCCTTTTTTGCCTCGCTAGTCCCAGGCTCAATATCCGGCAGCTTCCATTCATAGGTAAACGTGAGATATAGAGCCTGGTCAGGTCCTTCGGATAGGATGTTCTGAATTATCGACCCGCCAGGTAGCGTGAAGTAAGTCTACTCGCTGGTTAGACCATTCGATGATAGATTTGAAGTTTTCAGGACGGTCTGGGCCGTTCTAAATGTCCTGGCTCTCTTACCTTAACCGGCTCATGCAACCTGCATTCCTCCCTGGTCCATTGTCCAGCCATAGGAGATTCGTGGAGATCGGCCGCAACATGTGCTTCCCTCACGATGTAGGTACCATTATCCCGTTCCTCGATGACTCGGGAGTCGTCGAAAGAGGGGATGAAGTCTTGAGGGCATCGGGCCTTCGATTTCAGGCCGTTCCAGACCTGTTCCCGGGTCAAGGTTGGGATGGAAGAATCAGAGCTGTTGACTAGCTCGGTATAGGCGATGTTGAGAGTAAGCATTATTGGTGGTTTGGGATGTTGGAGAACGGTTAAATGCGTGAAAATGTACTTGGGAATAAAATAAGGAAAAGTAGCAGACATGGATGTTCTGGCTTTATAAGGACCCGTCTAGCGGAAAAGGCGGAATGTCGAGGAAAGAGAACGATGGATGTGAAGCTCTCGGTCTCCGACCAAGGCCGAATACCGAACGACAATGGAACAGCACCCAATTGTCATTTATGTTTTCCATTAATTTTGAAAAATAATAAGGGGTTGAATTTGCGTTTCATTGACGAAATTCACCATACGCGACATCAGTAAGGTTGAACGGCATACCGTATGCGCCGCAAATTCCAAAGAGCGTGCAATCTCGATCAATGTTTTCGTCTAGTTGCCTCTTCAGCGAATGCACAAAACCCTCCGCATTTATAGATAGTATGCATTAGATCGTCACGGCCTTGGCGATACAGCTTCACATTTGGGCAGCACTCATCTAAGATATAACCATTCTACACCAACCAGAACCACCACAATGTCAGTTGGACAAAAGGCAAGAGAAGGTGCGATTTGTTTAGGCATATGTGAGAGATGTATGCAAAATGAGACCGGGGGGTACGGATTGTCTATTTCTATTATGCTACGTTAACCATGAAATCCCTGCCGGATCATTTTGACGCCATTAGAACCGAAAAATGTATGCTTCAAGCGAAGTTTTTTCATCATGCACAGGCTCCCTATTGAGGAGACTGTGTCGTGTTGAAGTATGCCATGTTACAGATCCGAAAGAATTAGCATAGATATCACGGCCTGAGCAGGGTGAAATTTTCTATCTGCACTTGCCTGTCATTGAAAAGGACTAACATAGTATGTAGGCAGAGTTCGACGAGAGAATGATGCCAGAAGCTTGCAGTGCCAAGAGCCATTTTTTTACAATTCCTTACTTTTTCCTTACTTTTTGTCGCTTCTGTGATCTTTTCCTCCCTTACCCTTACTTGAATGCAGTATCTATAGCCTTTACTGGGGCTCGTCTATGAGAATATTGGATAATGTTACATTTTGCTTGCTTCCCGTAGCATGGTAGCTCCCTCTCTGCTTTCATGAGAAAAGAAAGAAAGAGAACCTTAGTATTTATATCATGCATTCCGATGTGTCTGTTTCTCCTCAATTCTGATAAATAGGTCCATGTGTATGCCACTAAAAGTTTTACCTTAGAAAGTTGCAGAAGCCTATGTTGTCCGCCACTGGCTTTCAATTTAATCTACCCGTCATCTTGACGATTGCTCTCAACGGGTGATAGATCAGGGTAATGACTAGCTGACGGTCCGTTCCTTTTTTGGAGGCGGCAATTTAAATTCTAGGCTTTTTGGTCTATGAAACTATGATATTCCTGGAATTGCCCCCACTGTAAATACGAGGACTCAGCAGATTATCTTTTATATTCCACATCAACCTCTAATCCCGAGGTCCTCTACCAGATCCAACATCCTTGAGTGAAACGATATTTGGAGATGAGCTATTACATATGGGGGGACAAAACCGATGAAGAGATTGAACTAGAGAGATCTGGAGATATATGTCTTCTTCAAAGATACCGACTCGCTACCTTCGCCAACGAAGAAACCCCAAGACAATACCCTACCGATCTAATGGGATTATTGCAGACAGAGATTGCACTTCGGGAGAATGCTCAACGCGAGATAGCCTTGAAAGAAAATATAGAGGAACTTGCCAAGGAAGGAATCAACGTGGCTGTTGTTCAAGACTTAAAGGAGGAATTATTGACACTTTCGAAGGAATATTGGACCTTGGAACGATGTTGGTGGAATATTAGGTCTTCATTTGAGGACGGCCCGCTGACCAGAGGTATTGATTACTGGCGTTCACAGCCAAAATGGTACATGCATCAAGTGCTTTGGGAAGATTGCGTTGGGAGAGGAGGCTGTTGTGGCAGAGACTGTGGATGCTGTTCTAATCGCCAGTCAGAACGGAAATTTGCAGAGGGTCATTGCACCGTGGAGTGTGCTTGCTGCGAGAATGCCCGGGGGTTTGCACTCGACCTCGAGCAAAAATTCCAAATACAGGATTCGTTCAGCCTTGATTGCCACGGTGCACGTGCATGGTATTGCCATCGAATAAGAACCGCTGCTCTGCTGGGGTTGATGGCCGGTAGTTACGAAAACCCTTTGGATCTCATCGTTGACCCGCCGCCAAGATATATACCTCCCTCTGAAGAAGCAGAGGGAGCAACTAGAGGAGCCATCTGCGGGGATCTTCCTACTGACGTTGACGTTGCGTAAGAGTAAGAGCCGGTCAACTGTTTTAGAAAGTCATATTTGCTGCTGTTCTGTTCCCAGTTTTGTGTCGCTATTATCACTTGTTAGCTTACGGTCTATATATATAGTGAGGCTAAGAAACAATGGAGAAAGATGGAGAGAGTGGAACTAGAAGGTTGAAGAGATATATAACACCTGTCATCATTACTATACCTAGCTAGCTTTGCCTATAGTGGAAAGTACAGCCACCCAATCCGATTTGACACCTCCTCCGCTGCCGTAGGTGTCTTCCACATAGTTCTCCAAGGCCATACGAACCTTATCTAAGTTTGTGTCCCGTTGTTCATCGGTGCGTAGGATGCTCACCTAGGGTGGGATTACTACCACTATCATCGCAACTTTTCCCACCCAGGCTAATAAGGTTTCATCGCTGCTTGAAGGGGAAAATCATATCGAATGAATGATTGAGTAGATGTATGGCTCAAGTACGTCTGAGCGGGCCTGTTTTTCATACCCTATGGTTATTCTAATAAATGCCGGCGATTGGCCTTGAGGCACAAAATTCTCCTTTTTTAGCACTATTAATACTCATAGAAGGGCACGATCGTCTATAAAATGGAGCAATTATGCATCCATTGAATATATTACGTACTGAAAATATGTTTTCCTATGTAGATCCTTTCGATCAGTCAAATCCATGGAACGCGTGGGTGATCATTATACCTGCCCGTATGTGGCAATAGCCTGCAATGGGTCATTGGATGAAAGAATCTACCTGAAGACTTCGGCTGCTTATATGAAAATAACCATGGAAAAATGATGATATATTGTTGTCCCTTTACATTACACTGATGCTGTGATAAGTGAGAAATCTGAATAAATACGAAGCCGAGTTTTCAAAACACCACCACCGTGTCCAACCAGCGCAGGACTCCTCGCAGGCCATCAAAAGCCGGTGTATCTAGAGAGGGCTCTTTGGATTGCTCGATGTCAACATTGCCAACCATTGCGTCGAACCCGTGGGGCGCGTCGTCGGGGAACTCGGTGTGAACGGCCACGCCGAGTTGGCGCAGGGTCTCTGTCGCGGACTGGCTGACAGCGAACGGCACGGCCGCATCATTCCGGCCATGAAGCACGGCCGTTCTCGGGAGGCCTGCCACACGCCCAAGCGCGATGGCAAACAGCTCTCGAGCCTTCTCTGGCACGAGATCCACCATTACACTTTTCGCGTTACTGCCGCTGCCGTCGCCACCGCTGCTGTTCTTGTCGTTATAATTGCCGCGGATCTTGCTGCCGAGACCCGGGATCCCGGCCATGTAGTCCGGCAACCGTGCCATGCAATGCAGGGCAGCGATCAAGCCCATGCGTACGTCCGCGCTCGGGTTCTGGGGGATCGGGTACCCGGAGAGCGCCTGAGAGGGTTTGCCATCTGTTGCTGCTTTGCGCTGGCCCTCTTCCCACTCGTCGAAGAAGGGCTGGCTGTCGATAGGTGACATCCCGAAGAAGTTGCCCACAGGCTGGTTGTATCGCTCGTGGAGCGGATCCAAAATCCCGTAGAGGAAAAGCAAGGCGTCGGGCTTGTGACTCGGGGCTGCCAGAGAGGCACTTGTCAGAGCGAGGTATGCCCCGGCGCTGGACCCGGCGGAGATCACGGGTCCGATGGAGATGTTCAGTGCGGACGCTAGGGACTGTCGGATCCACAGGTATGCATCCAAGGCATCGGCCACGGCTTCGTGCGCTGTCACTTCGGGCAGAAGGCGATAGTCAGGTGTGACGAAAATCCACCCCCGAGCTGCGCAGCCGTTGAGCAGCCAGTACGGGAGAAAGGACTGTCTGTCTCCGACAACCTAAAGAAAGCCTTGGGGTCAGGAAGTGGCTCGGAATTTTCAAAAAAGGAAAAGGAAAAGATTCGTACAAAAAAGCCCCCGTGAAAGTGGATCAGTACGGCTGGGACTGTGCTCTGTTCTCGGGGGGTAGATTATATCAAGATTGAGAGTGAGCGGGCCGATACTCTTGTATGGAAGAGTTTTTAATTCGTATCCACTCGGTATATCAGGAGGTGTCATAGTAAATATAACGCAATAATTCCTAGCCACAAAGTCCAGATGGATCAAAGAAGAACTGAAACGGTGCAAGAAGAATGCGAAGCAAGAGTATAAGACCAGGGTTGAAGAGGGAGGGACGAATTGAAAGAATACGAGAATAATAAGATACTGCGAGCAAGAGAGCCTTTTATGTCAAGGCTTTCTGAAGGATTCTGTACGCGGACTCATTTTTGCCTGCTCTTGGGGCCCGCAATATATCATCATGCAGCTATGACCTGTCAAGTGAGTGATGACAGCTGTGCCCATGCATGTGTGAGGGGTAATAAACAAGCTGTATTAGTACCACTCTGATGCTAGAATCGCTCTAGGTCGAACTTGGAGGGGTGATTATACGTTCAGCAGTCGGGGTTTACCTGCCGCATCCCCCCACACTGACGACTTATGCAGCCATGGCTAGATGTTGAGGGGTGACAGGATCTTGAACTCCAACCACACTTCGGATGGCAAGAAAATTATTGTTTCTGAATACAAGTGCATGGTGGGAACGCTACTTTTAGTTAGACCCCATTACTTTCGTACGATCCACCCATTCGGAGATCGGCAGTTTGGCATTCCACCATAGCATGTACTTGTAACTTATTCTACGCACATGAAATGCTGCATGGTTGACCTATGATGCTAGCGAGTAACGACAAGACATAGACCACCCCATGGAGGAACAGTTCAAGATCTCTATCCCACAACACCCATAATCTAAAATGTCAGTATGGTCAGTCTTCCTCATATATACTTCTCAGCACGAAGGGAGATGGATTACGACCACCGATCCCTTGTCACCCTGATCATGACGTCTTTTGTATTGTGTGCAACAAAGCGATCGACCCATTTCAAATCCGTATCGGTCGTATCGGACAAAGCAAACTCAAAGTGGGAGAATAGATACGCAAGACAAGCATGGAGCTCCAGGTAGGCAATACTGGCAAAATATCGTCAATAAAAGCTTTTCTGAATGCAATGCATTTCGCAATCCCTCCTTGCCAAGGGGGAGAAAGCACTGGAATTTCCATTTCTCTCGAGAAGGGGAGTACGCACTTTACCCCAATGCATTGACGAGGACCCCTGCTAAAGGCAACGTTCCACTTTCTTGTGGCTGCTGCGTCTTCTCCTAGCCATCTCTCCGGGAGAAACGCCTGGGGATCACGGAAGATGTGTTCATTCTGCTGAATGCTCAACAGACTAACAGATACGGTGGTCTAATATTGCTTTCTATTAGTACGGAGTGCAAACATTTTTTACCTGGCCGACTTACACCAGGCGGAAGAAAGATCGTGCCACATTTTGTCCCCGGCTCGGGGACAAGACGTGGTAGGCATCCTGGCACGGGGCTCGATAGCCGGAGTGCCTCCTTCACGACAGCACCCTGCGAGAAAAAGCAATTGTCAGTACATGGAGGGATTACACATCCTGGAAAAAGGTGTTCTTTTTCACGCCTATCAGCGTACCAAGTAGGGAAGGGTGGCAATTTTGTTGTGATCAAAGTGGTCACGGATAAATGGAGCCGCCTCATCAAGCTCGGCCTGCAGCTTAGACAGTGCCTCCGGTGAAGTCAAAAGGTAGTGCACTGCACAGGTGGTAGAATATGCCGTGGTATCACTGCCGCCGGCGATAAAGTTGAAAATGTCTTTCAAGGGATGTAAGACGGCCCGGACTTTCTTCTTGTCCGCTGGGTCAATCTGCGCGTAGCGCTTCATGTGAGAGTCCCGCTGAGGTTGATCCCCTTGCTTAGCCAACCGGACATCGTTGGCCGCCCATTCTTCACAGTACTGCAGTGGTGTCAGTTGCCGACAAGAAGGGGTGATAATACAGCGCACTTGATTTGGCCTGGCATGTGTATAGTAGACCTACCTTGGTGAATGTTTCAAACGCCGACCCAAAAGCCCTGTAGCTAGAGCCGGGAACTAGGCCCAGTAGACTAGCCGCGGCCGGATAAGTGAGAACTAGGTGTTGTTAGACCAAATGAATGTCACATACATGCTTCTGGGTCATGAGCTTTGAGAAGCTGGAGTGAAAGCCTTACTCAACCAGGTTTTGTTCATAACCGTATCTAATGCCACCAAAAATGGATGGTATGTCTCACAGTCGAACAGATTAACATCTTGGGAGAAGAGTATCCGAAGAACTATATCGGCCTAAAGTAATCGAAAAACTGCTTTAGAGATCCTCAAATCAGAGACAATCAGCGGGGCCAACAGGGATACTGACACTTAAGGTGCGAAAGACCTGCAGAATATTCACGGGCTCATCCATGCTTAGATGTCGTCGAAGTCGAGCTGCAATTTCCTGCAACTCATTGAGAACACTAGGCGCCAGCTCATCTGCCGACCTGGCCGAGTATAACGGGGCTATATGGCTTCGGTAGGTGCGGTAGTCCTGAGGATCAACCATACTGTCCAGCCCGCCGAAGTGTTGGTAAAATGAAGGATCTTTCGCATATTTGGACCCGACGCAGAAGACCCTAGTTTAGCCTTATGAGCACCTCCGACAGTTTTGAGAGATTGACTTTGGGAGAAGTGGCGAGACATACTCTTCAAAAAACTCCGGATCGTTGAGATGGACATGGTTCGGTCCAATGCGTATAATAGGTGAGTCTACCACGCGCTTCTTAGCTTAGGTTCTCATTTGACATACTGAACTTGTTTGAATGGGCTAGAAGTCTCTTACTGTACTTGGCGTGGAGCTCCTGGAATCGTTTGGAGTAGCCATCTCCCCGGATAAAATTGAAGTAGAATGCATAGAGATCTGTCAATGCGGCAAGACGGGGCCCTGGTATCCTTGCCAATGAATGAAAACAAAGACGGCGCAGCACTATGATACTGAGGCCGAAAACCAAAATATGAAAAGCAACGACGAGAAGCTTCTCACTCAAAGTATCTTGAACCCAGGAATAGACCAGCCGGGTTTTGTGAAGCCCCATGGGCGTCAATTGAAACATCCTCACGCTTGAAATGCCGTGGAATTTTTGAATACTTGCAACAATATGGTGCGAGGGAAAATGTGCGGCACGCAGATTTTATGACGAAAGGGGAAGAGAAGACAGTCACACAATATTGCAGCCCAAGCACAACAAATTTATGGAGCGTGACAAATACTAACAAGCAAAATTATGAGTGATCCACTTGATATACTTGTGGGGGGGTACAGCAGGATGGCATTGCAATCAGGCCGTCAGACAGCCATTGTCTGGAAGCAAGATTCCTGCCGCTACAAAGAAACCAGACTCAACGTCCTAAGATAGCTCAATTACCACCGGCCGAAAGTTGGATCATTGCAGTTGCTTGAGTGTAGCGTAATGACAGGTATTTTAGTCCGCATGCATTAGCATCCAGCCATTCGATATTGGCCGTGAATGCATGGAGAGGACTGGAACATCCGCATGAAGTTCGGACGACAGCGTGGTTTTGGACCGTAATTGATGAATACACTTCACAATTATCCCTAGTCGTTTCATTCCCGGTTTTTAATTTGTACTTTTACCAAGCTGCAGTCGGAATCCCTGTTGCCAACATCATGCAGCCAAACTGCATGCGAATCTCGTGCATCTCTTAGCGTAAGTGTTTGTGTATTTACCGTTAGTGGTAAAAAAATGCATTACAATACCATGACGCTGTTCATACACAGCAAGAAATAGATCTATGTAAAGCGCACCTGGTGGTAACACTTAATTAGAGGTTACCTAGAACACCATCTGAAACCTGCCTCAAGTCAAAAAGACAACTATTTACACCGTCCGCATTGGAACAGCTCCTAGAACACGCTCTATCATCATCCACACCAGACCTTGTCGTTGAAATGACGGTCTCCAAGCGCCAGAATCGGCCCATCCACGCCAACCGACTGCTGCGAGTAGTTTGCATCGGGGCCGGTGTCTCCGGTCTGTATCTAGCGTATCGACTGAAGAAGAGTTTCACTGATTTCAAGCTACAAATCTACGAGAAAAACGCCGATGTGGGCGGGACGTGGTTCGAGAACCGATATCCAGGATGTGAGAAAAGATCCCCAGTTTCTCATCTGAGTTCGAGAAAATCAAATTTTACTCACATAACTTCTCTCCCAACTCATTCAGGTGCTTGTGACATCCCTGCGTGAGCTTTTCCTGTCCTTGCCCCCCTTCGGGGCCAGAACTCACATCAGCCCTAAAGCTAATTAGGATCTTCAAGTCACAATTATACCTACACGTTCGAGCCCAACGCCGCCTTTTCGGCTAACTATGCCACCGCGGGCGAGATTGCGGGGTACTTCTCTGGCTTCGCGGACAAGTATGGCCTGCGCGAGTATATCATGTGCCAACACGAGGTGGTGCACGCGCACTGGGATGAAGGAAGAGCGGAGTGGAGCGTTCAAGTCCGTCGCGGGGCGGATGGAAAAGTCCTGGAGCAACAGTGTGATTTTCTGATTAACGCGGCCGGAATATTGAACTCGTGGAAATATCCGGAGATTCCGGGGATGGAATCCTTTAAGGGGACTCTAGTACACACAGCCAATTGGGACGAGATGTTGGACATGGCGGGGAAAAAGGTCGGACTTATTGGGAACGGGTATGTGAGCTTGCTTGCTGAGGGCCATCTCGCGCGAGAGACTTCTACGCTATTCGAGCCCTAATTCCGTGTTCCGTTTAGGTCATCTGGAGTGCAGATCCTTCCAGAGTTACAAAGGTGAAGTGGAGCCCCAGGATGCGTTCCTTCGGTTTTGTTGATAACATTTGGCATGCTAAATTCTTTTTTTGTTTGCTACTAGAACCGCCCAGCACGTCACGGCTTTCATTCGGAGCCCAACGTGGATTAGCCCGGCCCGGGGGATGGAATATCATCAATACACGGAGGAGGAGAAGAAGAACTTCCGCGAAAGCCCCGATGAGCTCCTGGCGGTACGCAAGGAGACCGAAGGGTTCATGACCTCAGCAGCGCTTTTTTCCGTGTTTATCCGCGGTTCCAAGGTCCAGGAAGTGCTCGCACAAGATATGAAGGCCCAGATGCTAGCGAAGCTGGCCAGCAACTATGTTCTTGCTGAGTCTATCATCCCCGACTTCCCCCTCGGATGTCGTCGCCCTACGGTGAGCGATCGAGACCCTGATATACTTTGACTCAAGTTTTTCGGATAACAAGAGGGAAAATACGGAAGCTAATTTACAAGGGGAAAAAAAGCCTGGAATTGACTACCTCGAAAGTTTCAGCCAACCAAACGTCACAGCACACACAGGCACCATCAAAGAAGTGACTTCGTGGGGATGCGTGGCTGACGATGGGAGCGAGCATGCCCTCGACGTGCTCGTCTGCGCCACGGGCTTCGATACCTCCTTCCGGCCGCGCTTTCCGCTCGTCGGGCGGAATGCGATCGATCTTGCCACTCAGTGGGCGGAGGAGCCCCGAAACTATCTCTCGCTGGCGGTGCACAATTTCCCCAACTATTTCATGTTCCTCGGCCCTAACTGCCCCATAGGCAGTGGACCCATCATCGTCGGCATCGAGGCCGCCGGGGACTACATGGCTCGCTTTATGAACCGGTGGCAGAAGGAGGGGATCCGCTGCTTTGATCCAAAGGTGGCCGCAGTCGATGATTTCATGGAACAGAAGGACCTCTTCATGGACACCACTGTCTGGCGGAGTGGCAGCGGCAGCGACAGCGACGGTAATGGCAAAGGCAGTGGGAGTTGTCGATCGTGGTGGAGGAACTACCGCACGGGCAAGGTTACTGCGTTGTGGCCCGGGAGCACCGTGCATTACCTGGAGGCACTGGCAACCCCGCGGTATGAAGACTTCGAGGTTGAATATACTAGTTCGAACCGCTTTGCCTACCTGGGAAATGGGTTCGCTCAGCGCCAGCTGGCCGCGTCAGCAGATCCAACCTGGTATCTGCGTACTACGGATGAAGGGAGCCTTCTACCGGATCCGATGTCCACGGAGAACGTGAAGGATCTGCGAGATCTACTAGCAGAAGGGTTCGCTTGGACTCCAACCCGAGGTCAATAGTGCGCAGGTTCCAACCCGTAGAATGCAAAGCTTGGAACCAAAGCCAAATCGAAAAGAAATGAAACGTGTAGTCATAATCTTCGAGGCTAAGATAAATGTGAAATTGACTGCTCGTGCTCTGCGTTCAAGAATCTGGCTTCTACTACTATCCTTCATAAACTTGTTCACAGATCAAAGAACTTTATGCTCCGTGACTACGCTGTTTTGGCCGAGCTCCACACCTGACCGGTTCGACGAAATGCCCCCTCACTCGACGGACGTGCCTTTTCATCCGATGCGCCCAGGAAGTCGAGCTTGACCAAGAACTCGACATTCTTCCTGATCGCCGCCTTGACGTGTGGCTTGTGATGGTCGAGACGTAGACTAGAGAAGTCCGCGCCACCAAAATGACCGTCGACCTCCTCGAAAATCTCTTTCACGGGCCAAAGAGGATGGTTGCGGCCCCGAATATCGATAGCTTGCGTCACGCGCGACACCCATAAATCATGTGGCACAGCAATAAGCCGCTGTTCACCACCTAGAGCGTCATTGACGGTGTCCCAATATTCAGACACCGTAACACCATCCGTAATATAAGTGATCGGCCGGTCAGAAGCTTCCAACGCAAGCGCCTTCCGGACGATGGTTTCTGCGACTTGGCAAGAGGATGTAATCCATAGACCCGTGTTAAGATCCTCGGCACTGTATGATCCTACCCCCACTGCGGCCGCAGTGATGCGCCAGAGGTAATCATCGATGTTGGGGACACCGTCTTGGGGGGTGCCGATGATGAGCCCGGGCTTAACGATGGACAGTTGCCCCGAGTACGGGTGGTGTGCGGCAAAGTGTCGGACCACCATCTCCGCCACGAATTTGCTCTGACTGTAACCACTGCCGCTGCTCACCACCTGGTCTGCCAGGGAGGCGTCCGTCTCTTCTAGGTCCCAAGAGTGGCCGCCAGAAACATAGACCAAGCGCGGACGGGCAGGCGAGGCGAGAGCTGCACGGATCAAATCGACCGTTGAATCGACATTGACGGCCCGGAGGAGGCCGTAGCCTGCATTCCAGTTGACCGCCGCCCCTGCGTGAATGATGGCATCGACCACACAAGAACCCGCCCCAGCCGAGCCCTGGACCGAGGGGCCTCCGCTGATACATGCCCAGTGTTGATCACTCAACCCTAAGCGTGGCTGAGAGAGATCACCAGCCCATACCTCAACCTTATGGCCATGTCGCTCCTCGCTCCACCAATTCGCGCGTCGTGCAGCGTTCTTGCAGCGGGTTGACGCCTCCTGGGCTGTCTTGGCCCGTACATGGACAATGACCTGGCGAACATCGGGGGTCTCACAGAGTTGGTGGAGAATTTCGGTGCCTAAGAGGCTAGTACACCCGGTCAAAAAGACCACTTGATCGCGTGGTTGGGGGGAAGGTACTCGGGGGGCAGGTAGTTGGCGATTCACAGTCCGAACCAGCCGCGCAACTTCACCCGTCAGGTCGATAGACCTCGGCTCCGTCCCGGCGGGCTTATCGTGTGTAACGAGAGCTGCAAGTGACCGCACGGTGGCTGTACCGTCCAGCATCTTCCGTACAGGGATATTCACGGCATACGTCTGTCGGAGGAATCCGACCAGGCTGGTCACTTGGATGGAATCGAGGCCAGCGGCTGCAATGGCGAAGTCCCGTCCTTCTAGTACTGGAGAAACGTCCCGATCGCGTTCCATCAAGGCAGCGATCCTGCAGCTGATTGCGATCGCAACAGTCTCATCGGGGCCGAGCATTGGCTCGACATCCCTGATCTCGCTCTCCGTCTCACTCCCCCAACGCGGTAGAACTTCGGAAGGAGGTTGGGTAAGCCAAGACTCGACCCGTTTCCGGTCCAGTTTTGCTGCCAAGGACGTTGGAAGGCGTTCCACGGCAATATAGCGGTCTGGTATCATGTAGCTAGGGAGAAACTCCTCGATCTTTCTGGTGATGGCTGCAGTATCCATGCCAAGTAACGAAAGCTGATGCATAGGGACTGGAGCCAAGACTTTACCGCCGGATGTTTCTCCTTGGGGTGATAACAGCTGCAACATTGCGACTAGCCGATGAGCAAATGGTCCAGAGTTGGGGAACACCACGATCACCGCCGAAGCAAGGCCCTCGGCTGCTAGCACAATTTGACGCTCAATCTCGCCGAGCTCGACTCGCTGCCCGCGGATTTTCACCTGGGTATCTTTGCGCCCCACGTAGACTAATGAACCGTCTTCCTGATATTGGACAAGATCGCCCGTTTTGTAGAGCCGATCGCAGCGCGAGAAGGGCATCCACTGAGGGCGGGGAATGAACGATCTTTGAGTCATCTCCGGTTGGTTGATATAGCACCGGGCCAGATTATGGCCCTCAATCAGCAGCTCCCCAATAGCGCCAACTGGGGACAGGATCTGATCATTATCGGGGTCCGCGACCCAGCATGCGCCGCCGACGGCGGTGCCAATGTTCGCGGGATGGGAACCGATGGTCACGTTCCGGTTGGCGGCACTGATTACACAGCACTCCGCAGGACCGTAGCCGTTCACCAGGTGGACATACCGGGCCCAAGTCTCCAGGATCGTCGCGGACATAGGCTCCCCTGCGAGGCAGAGGGTGCGCAAGGTCGGTACCGAGCTGGGATCCACGGTACTGGCAAACGAGGGGGTCAGGAAGGCGTAATCAACTTCCATGCGATTGATGGCAGACGCGACGTTCTCCCGGCGCTCCTGCTCCGAGGGAACGCAGACCACACCACCATGCACAAGCGTAGATAGGATCTCGCCCAGGCTGACGTCAAAGGCGCACGAGGAGAACTGGAGAACTCGTCTCCCTAAGGAAAGCCCGGCTTGATGAGCCAATGCAGCAGTACAGAACGCACCGTGTTCTATCACAATGCCCTTGGGAGTCCCAGTACTGCCAGAGGTAAATATCACATAGACCGCATTGCTTGGTGATACATTCGACGATCGCCTCGGAGACTGATCTGCCATCAAGCGTTCCCAGGATTTATCAAGGACAATGGTCTTCTGTGCAAGGTACGGATGCCGGTCGTGCTGGGCTTTAGAGCTCAGCATGGTCGTGGCTTGAACCGCTTCAATCATGGTTTGTAGACGACTCTCTGGAGCTGAGGGATCTAGTGGAACAAAGGCGGCACCAGCCTTCATCACAGCAAGCATGGCCACGATGGACCAGAGTGACTTCTCGAAACATATAGGAATATAGGTCTCTGTATCGATCCCGAAATCCATCAAGTACCCAGCCAGCTTGGTGGAAACCCTGTCCAGCTGTTCATAGGTCATGTCGCCGTCCCAGGAGCAGATTGCTTGATCTTTCGGATGATTTTCAATCTGCCTCTGGATCAGAGAATGCACAGTCGTGTTACTGCGACGGTCAATTGTGCCGTTCCACCGGTATATGTCTTCTTTATCTCGCGGGGTTGCTAGTTCAACTTCTTTCATGGCAATTGCCCGCTTCTTGGACAATTGCAATGCGACATGCTCGAACTGTTGCAGCATGCGAGTGACCACCTGAGTGCTAATAACGTTCGAATCGAATAGCGCCTGGACGATTGTGCTATCAGAATCGCTTGCGATTTCGATGACCAAAGCCTTGTTGAGACTCTGAAGCTCAGAATTACGACAGGTCGTTTTGCAATCACGCCGCATCATTAGGAGGCTTTCGAACCCGCATGCTGGGGCTGGGACATTACCAAGGCGAGCAATGGCCTCGAAGCCATCGCTTCTATGGTAAAGGAATTTATGGAAGCGGTTACGTATGGCCACTAGATAATCTTCAACAGCCAATTCTTGATCGATTCGAACCTTAAATGGCACCACCCGGGAGTTGTCCAAGGCAGCGCCGAAGACCGTTTCCGACGAAGCCAGGAAACGTGCCTGTAGTATTCCCCAGGCCGCCAAGAGCATGGTCTCAGTGGCATCAGGCGGCGTTTGGCTATCTAGACTTGTGGTGAAACAATATTCTAATCGTTGATCCACGGATGGGACATAGGATATCGAAGGCAGGCGAGGAAAAGTAGGGAGACCTTCTCTCTCGCCCAACTCTTCTTTCCAAAACGTAGTACCGTCCTCTAGCTGTCCCGACCACGATGCTGTGTCCGGGGCCAGGCTCAGCAGATTGGCAATGGGGACCAATGTGTTTGCATGGAGCTGATGAAGGATCCGAATGAACTGAGTTAAAATACCTTGCATCTGCTTTTCCGGCACCACATGGTCGTCGAAGACCGCCTCGATATGGAGTGCATCAGCTTCCAGATTGCAGATCAGTGTCAAGCAGTATGTCACCCAGGCATAATGGTCGGTTGTCGAGGTCATTTCGGGCAGAAGAGAGCTGTCTCCGCCCCGTCTCTCGGGTTGCACCACGAGTAGTGTCTGGAAGGAGCATGCCCGCGCTGCATCTGGCCCGAACCGACGGATATTTTGGAGGCCTGTTTGCTCGAAGGGGATTCCATCCGTCATGTCTTTCTGGATTTTCTGTAAAGCATACCTGACGAGGTCTGCTGGGTTGAAGATGATCCTCGATGGCACAGATGCAATGGTCGGCCCCGTCATGGTTTCAATTCCGGGCACCGACGAATTTCGACCGGACCTGACGGCTCCGAAAAAGACATCATGGCTGTCTTGAATCTGCCCTTGTGTGAGCGCCCACGCGAGACTGATGTAGGTGTTGGCCGTGAAATCCCGGTCGGCTGGTGGGTTGATTGTTGTGCGGATCGATATGGCAGTCCTTGGGGTCGGGTGACACGTTGTCAACGGCAACGAAGGGAATACTGCACCATGAATACCAGTCATGACTGATTTCCAATATGCCTCCTGGCCTTGCATACGCGCCAGATAGCGGATGAATGGAGTGAACGGTCGGATTGGGAGGGAGAGCTCGTTGTATGCTGCTTTGAGGTCATCTAGTAGCAATGGGAGCGTCCACCCATCATACACGGCGTGGTGCATGTGGATTACCAACTGATATATCGCGTCTGGTCTTCCCTCAACTGGACTGATGGCAAATTGCACCAACGAATCGCCAAGCACTGCTGGATATTCCGGCACCTGTGCAGTCGTTAAGTGCATGTCCCACGCAATATGTTCACGGACAACAACTTGAAGCATCCCATGGAGATCCGATACGATGATCCTGGTTCTGAGAATTGGATTCGCCTCAGCCACCTTATTCCATGCGTGCTGCAGTCGCTCTAATTCCAGATCTGCAGGGACCGCCAAAGAAATCTTTGTGACGAATGACGGGCCCGAGTCTTGCACGGACAATGCCACGAGGCCTTCCTGCAACGGCGTGCATGGATAGATGTCCTCGATGGCATTGGGATCAATCGAGCATTGTGCGGCAGCTGTTGTGATAACATGTTGCAATTCCACCGGCCCCAAGAGAGAAAAGCGCTGGGGAAGGGATTCAGTCCAATCCGAACCCGACTGCATGATCAAGGCAATTTCCCACAACCGAGGATGGTCAAAGATATCTTTCACCGTGATCTTGTGGTGGTTCTTGCGAGCTGAAGCCACTAGTGCCATGGCTGTAACTGAGTCCCCCCCACGGTGAAAGAAATGATCGTCCGCCCCAACTTTTACTTGGGGTATGTGCAGGATGTCGGCGTAATACCTCTGGACGACCTTTTCCATCTCTGTTATCGGGGGTCGTTGGCGAGTCGGTTCTGGTTGAAATTGCTCCAGCTCTTTTCGGGTCAATGCACCTGCCAACTCCCGTAATCGCCTACGATCTGTTTTGCTTGTCCGAGTCAAAGGGAGAGTTCGCAGCGGAAGAAATATGGCGGGCACCATGTAGGGAGGCAAGGCCTCTTGCATGTGATGCCGCGACCTCTCACTCTGAGAGCGAAACTCGTTGGTGGGCTCGGCAAGGATCGCCACGTGGGATTCGGTCCCATTGTCATCGCCTGTGCTACGGGCGTCTTGTGCTATAAACGCGACGAGCATTGGAGGTCTTTGCTCTCGCACAGCAGTGACCACTTCGGCCACCACATCGGCTGCGTCCCGAAAGGTTTGGCGCAGATGATGTTGCACTTCGCTGAGCTCAATTCGCTGGCCGCGTAACTTGACTTGGGTGTCCTTGCGGCATACGAAGCGGAGCGAGCCGTCTGCATTGTACGAAACCATATCACCGGCTTTATAGATTCGACGACCGTGTTGCTCCTTGTACCCACGAAACCGCCGTAACCAGGAAGGGATCGGAGGGAAAGACTGCGCCGTGGCATCAGGGTTGTTCAAGTAGCCGCGCCCGGCAATGGGGCCCTCAACCAAAAGTTCACCGACTGCGCCGATGGGAAGCAGAGTCTCGTGGTTTTGGGGGTCGACAATCCAGTTGGCACTCCCTGTCGAGAAGCTAATCTCACCCGGCCCCGTGTCCCCTCCACTTTTGCGTTGAAGCGAGATAATCGGACACTCTGATGCACCGTAAAGATTAATGACATGCACATGGTCTGTCCACCGGGCCACGTCAGTGGCTGACAATTGCTCTCCTCCGAGGGCCAAGGTCTTCAACGTCGGAACCTCTTGTGGATTGAGTAGTCGGGCCACGGTGGGCGTTATCGAAACGTGGTTCACCTGGAAACGTTCGATCGTCCTAGCCACGTCACTCCATCGGTCCGTGTCGGAAGGAATGCACACACATCCTCCCACAATAAGGGCAATCAAGGTGTCGAAAATGATCACATCAAAGGCATAGGACGCGAATTGAAAGACACGAGACTCCCTGTCGAGGAGGAGTGCCTGGGTATAGGGCTGCACGCTCGAGTGGAAAGTAGCATGCTCAATGATCACTCCCTTGGGGGACCCAGTCGAGCCGGACGTGAAAACTGCGTATAGCGCATTTTCGGCCTTAACTGACGGTATCTCAATCTCACTAGCTAGTTTTCCCCTTTCGTGCTCACCATACCCCAACACGACAACCTGACGGGCCAGCGTGCGAGCCATGGTGGCGGACTCCGGCGATGTCAGCACTACTTGGGAGGAAACCTCCCGACAGATTTGTTGCAGACGTGCTGGAGGATGGGAGACGTCAAGCAGCACCATCGCGGCTCCAGCCTTCATGACACCAAGCATAGCCACAACCACCCAGCGGGATTTCTCCAGACATATTGGCACAAACACCTCACGGCCCACCCCTTTTGTCACCAGCTTGGCGGCTAATTCTGCCGACAGACGAGAGAGTTGCTGGTAAGTGAAGTTGCCATCCCACGCATTGACGGCGGGCCTTTCTGGCTGCAGCTTACAACGCGCTTCGATCAATTCATGGATACACTGACTGGCCGGCTCGGGTATCACTGCGTTCCATCCGTAAATTCTCTCTCGGTCACGATCTCCCAGAAGGGACAGGCCTCGAATAGTAGGATTCTTGTCGTCCGTGACACCAGCTACGGCGACGCAAAACGCGTCTAGGACCCCAATCGCTTGGTCCGCGGTGAGCATAGAGTTTCCGTAGAAGAGCACGACCTCCGCGCTCTGCATATCAATCTCTAAGAGAAGGCCGTCCTACAGGTTTGATTATCAGCATTCTTGTTTGCTCGTAACAGATGGATCAGTCTGTACTCGCTCGTAGGCAGCACAGACTAGCTTAGTACGATGGAAAGCATACCTGATCCGGAGCATCGCGAGTCCACCCTTCAGTCACGCTGAGCGCCCTTATTGTTCCAGTGGATGTAGGTGATACAAATGCCAGGGATGTGTTAAACTGCGCAGCGCTGGAAATATTATTTGACTGCCCGCAGCTATTCGAGGAGCATGGTCTGGTTTCCCGCAGTCTCATCCACTCATTTTGAGCCTGTTTGACTAGGTGCGTGGGTGCAAGGTCCTCGGTCATGTCCAGGAAGCAGGGCGAACGCAGGACGGCCGAATCACTTTGACTGGTGTCTGCCACAGGCTCTACATAGCCAAAACAGACTGCGTCAGTCCCTGTGTATGCTCTCAGAACCAAGCCCCATGCCCCGAGGAGCACAGCAGGGATCGTCACATCAATGGACTGGCAGAGTTGAACCATTTGCACCCCAAGGATTACGGGTACTTGTGTACGACTTCTGAGCCATCCACCGGACCCAGTAGCTTGTTTACTCAACGAAGGAAAGAAACATGGATCAGGATAGTGCTCCTCCTGCTGATTTTGGTGGCCGTTGCCGCGTTCTTCGTCCATCCAGAGATCCAGTGGTGGTATTTGGAACTTCATTGATTCTGGCATTTTGACGCCTCACTTCCTTGGTTACAATATCTATCCGTCGAGTAAAGGTGAGTTAAATTTAATTGAGGGGTTGAGCGTGTGCCGCAAATAGGCCTGGGCAGAGTAGATTATATATTTCTGCCGCTGCGTAATAATATCTTCGGGCAACACTTGATACCATTCTGCTCATTCTATCTTTTATACTAGAATTGACCACAGGTGACAGAAAAAATTAGGAAAAAAAAAATCAAAGAAGACACCTCCCATTAGGAAGCGGAAAAGAGACAGGCCGCAGAAATGGCATTCGCAGTGTTTGGCATTACTTCTCCCTTTTCCATAGGAAATTGATCCCATACAATACGTAACCGTAACTTTCACCCTCAATACATCAGGAAACCAGTCTTATGTTTATGCATAAAGGTGGGTCGAATATTGGGTTTCGCGGGCCCGGGCCGGGCCCTAGCCCGCCGCAGACCCACTGCCTCGGAGTCCGATGCAACCCGACGGACCCTCAATTTAGTTCTTCTAGTTTCTTTGACTAATGACGGCAGTACTTACGCACATAGTAATCACTAAAGTTCAACCTCCGCGGAGGTAGGCCTCGGCGAGGCTAGCTCCCGGCCGGCCCGCTTGTTGCCAACTGGTCTAGACTTGAAGCTGCGCTGCAGGTTTTAATGATATATGAAATATTCATGCAGTAGAGTAAGCGGTACGCGTGCAGCTTGGATGAAGTCATGGCAATCAATTTGCCACCAAGATAGAACGACGAGTCCCCCCTCCCAAAAAATCTCAGAAAAAAAACCGGGAAAAAAAGGAAAAGGAAAAAAGACGACGTAGGAGTCTAATTGGCCACTTTACAGTGTCGCATATGCATCTCCCTCGTATACATATGGACCAAGCTTTGCGTGGCCGTCTACATATCAAGAGAGCCTGGGATGACCGTCATATTGCTTAAGGATACAGCGTTGTTTCATCTAGAAAGCAAATTTACCCTCAACTCACCCAAGGAAGAAACCTTCGTGCCTAGGGTACTCACAACCACTATTCATAATCTTGATTTCCAACGTTTCTTATGCCATCTAGTGTGTGAGCGAAGTTCAGAGAACTTGACAGAACGCCAGAAAAGAATTCAGAATGGGCCACCATAAAGACCAGGTCTCAAAAGCGTGTCCGGTAATGGCAAAAGGTCCTGGAATAGTATCTCAGCCAAACTCGCCACTAAATGGACATCGCATCATTGAAGCTCTGTCGAACTTTAATCGTGAGAAGATTCCTGAGAGGCCTGTCCATGCCAAAGGCGCGGGTGCGTATGGGGTGTTCGAGGTAAGTCCATGGGGAAACTATTCCTTCCTCCTTGTAATCCTCCTTGCTAACCTTTCCATCGGACAAGGTCACAGAAGATATTTCTGATATTTGCAACATTGACATGCTCCTCGGAGTGGGCAAGAAGACCGAGTGCATGGCACGTTTCTCGACGACGGGGCTGGAGCGCGGCTCGTCAGAGGGCGTGCGCGACCTGAAGGGGATGGCGCTCAAATTCTTCACGGTGCAAGGCGAGTGGGACTGGGTGTGCCTCAACTTTCCCTTCTTCTTCATCCGCGACCCGAGCAAATTCCCCAGCCTGATGCACGCGCAAACACGGGATCCGCAAACCAACCTGCTGAGCCCGAACCGCTACTGGGACTGGGTGACGTCGAACCATGAAGCTCTTCACATGGTGCTGCTACAGTTCAGCGACTTTGGCACCATGTTCACCTGGCGCACACTGAGCGGGTACGTGGGCCACGCCTTCAAGTGGGTGATGCCAGACGGCTCGTTCAAGTATGTGCATTTCTTCCTCTCCTCGGACCGTGGGCCCAATTTCTCCGAGGGAAAGGGTGCGGGGACATCGGCCGATGCTCAATCTGATCCAGACCATGCATCGCGCGATTTGTACGAGGCCATCGAGCGCGGCGATTATCCAACTTGGACTGCCAACGTACAGGTCGTCGATCCCGCCGATGCCCCCAAGCTCGGCTTCAACATCCTCGACGTCACTAAGCACTGGAACCTGGGTACCTACCCAAAGGACCTGGAGAAGATTCCATCACGGCCTTTTGGCCGGCTCACGCTGAATCGCAACCCACAGGACTACTTCAGCGAGGTCGAGCAGCGCGCCTTCTCCCCGGCCAACTTAGTTCCCGGGGTCGAGCCATCAGAGGACCCGATCTTGCAGGCCCGCATGTTCGCCTACCCGGATGCCCAGCGGTACCGCCTGGGGCAGCATCATTGTGGATCGTCACCCGCCCCCACGACTAGCGCTCCGATCACAAACCCAGCATACCGTGCATGGGTAGCCGACGTGGCCTCCGCCAACTGGTCCCAGCCCCATGAAAACGACTACAAGTTCGCGCGCGAGTACTACTTAGTCTTGCCAGAATTTCGCGGCCAGGACTTTCAGGACCGCATGGTCGAGAACCTGGCCGCCTCGGTGGCACAGACCTGGCCGGCAATCCGCACCCGGGTGTACGCGACCTTTGAGCTGGTTCATCCAGACCTGGCCCGGCGCGTCTCGACTTTGGCCGAGGAGAAAGCCCAGCCGGCTGCCAGCAAGGAACTGAGGACCGACGAACCACATTGCCCTCGGAAAGCGCACCTGTAGCAGAAATTATGGGGTCACTGAGCGCTCTTAGGACTAGGCCGTATTTACGTATCAAATCAAGCGATGCGGTGTAAGAAGCTACTATTCGAACTTTAGAAGTCAATCACTCCGAATGTGATGCAATTACTGCAAATTGTAGGGCACTTCTACATAATAATGTATGCAGGCCCCGAGCCTTCTCATGTTACTGTTCATAGTGCAGCTGCAGGCCTACTTGGGACAGCATTTATCGCTGGATATCGCCTTATTTGTAATCATGAGTTTCTTTGGAACACTTGTATCTGGATTTACTGACAGGAAGAAGAACAAGGAGAAGAGGAAAGTACAGCCTCGATCATTGTTTGCTTCTTACCAGTCTCATTCATCCGAGTCCCAATTGCAGGGTGTTTACCCTACTGTAGATTACGCATGATCCTACGGCTAAGCGAGCAGGCGATTGTGATCTAGGCACTCCTAGGTACTTTCTAATTGTGTCTGTGTCAGAAAGAAAGTGTGTGTGGAACTGAATTGGTAAGTTGGGCCGGGGCACGATGGACAAGGGGATCCGTTTTGATCCCCACTCGAAGACCAATTCATGCATGGCAGTGTCTCTACAGCGGGGGGCCTGTATCGACAAAAGGAACTAACAACACCCATATGACGAGTGCTAGAGGGCACACTACAGTATGAAACCTTGCAAATGCATGCATTCGCATGTATTACCCTGCAACGTTGCATCGCAAACTAGTAGATCCCAGGCAAATCTACGGGGACGGCTTCCTTAGACCTGGAAAAAGCCCGTCCACGGGCCTTCTAACTCCCGTCCACAATGGGCATTGCGCTGGGCACGCCCAGCTTCACCACACTTCACATAGAGTCGCCTAAAGCGGATAGATAACTTGCTGTCTAGCCTACGTGATTTTCCCAATTTTTACCTATATTTTGGTTGCTTCACGACAGATATTACGAACAGATAGTAAAATTATTGGAAATCCATTATAAATTATACTCAAGTTGGATGGTTTCCGGTATCGCTAGATATCCTTGCTTTCGTCGCAGGCAGAATCTAAGTGTGCTGCGCAGCAAAATCTCTGCATTAGTTCTGGATCTCAAATCTCAAATTGGGAATCCAAGATGCCAAAAAGAAGTGGTTTTTGACTTACTAACTGCCCAGTCGCCCGTCTCCAGCGTCTGCAAGTACACACTCAGGTATGGTCGACCCTTGCGGTACGAGAATGAAATGTATGCGTGCAGGTAGTTTAGCTCCTCATGTAGAGCGTAGGGACTATTATTTAAGCACAATTTCTTAGCTATACAGATACCCGATTAGGTAGGGGGTTGCTGGATTTCCCACCACTGGATTAGGAAGGGAATCAACTTACTAAGAGGCGCACAGACTCTCTTTGTATCTTTCCGCCATTCGTGTCCAGCCCTGGCGGGCAAAAAACGTGGTCAGCGCATCGGCGACCGCCATATCATTCATGCCAAACACAGTAAAATAGACCTGCGGCTCGGGTGCGGGATCATTCTGGTGCAGTGTGTAGTTGGCCATGCTGGGGAGGAGCTCGTCGGGGACAGCGCCCAGCGGAAGGTAAGGCTCAGGATAGGAGCGCAGCCCGCTGGGAATCTGGAGCAAATCCCAGAGCTCCTGGATCATCTCCCATCCAGCGCGCGTGGACACGTCATCGCGCCGGCCGCCGAGCGTCCACAGGTCCTTCATTGCGTCGAGGGAGACCATTCGCTCCAACAGGTAGATCTTGATCCGCGACAGGGTGGGATCGATTAGGTCGCAGGACAGGAGTCGTGGCGACACGGTGCTGTGCGGTCCCCGGCCGTGCACGTATGCCTCCAACATCTCTAGGGGAGCCTGGATGGCCGGGTGGCGGTCTGCCACACGATTGATGGAGTCAAAAATGAGGTCCTGAACGGATCGCCCCGTGGCTACCGCCTTTAGCGCAGGGTAGATATATGTTTTGGGCACTATTCGCCCGCCTTTCAGGTCCAGCGCCAGCTTGTTCTGCGTGTTGATCTGCCCGCCGGCCAATCCCTGTTGCTGCAGGATGGCTGATTCCTGCGCATCCACAGTGAGGTCTCTCTTGAAATGAGAAAACCATTCGATGTCCAGCGAAGGCTCGATTAGCATTAGTGGTTTGAGGGCTTCCCAGATGGCGAAAGTGTTGAAGGGGTCCTCGGAACCTCCACTAGCCGCGGTGATAGGCTCGTAGGTGTATCGGACGAGAGAGTCCGAACAGTTCAGACTCAGTTCGAATGGGGTGCCGTAGCGAGTTAAAATGCTCAACCAGCGATCCCGATCATTGGTGGGATAGACCCCCAAGAAGGGGATTATATGCTTCTTGAACATAGCTAGACATCGGTACTGGGTGTGAATGTCATAGTCCGCAGTCTGTAGCATCTGCGCAAACATTGGAGCGGTGCTATGCCACCAGTTCCTTTGCTCGTCATTAGGGAACTCAAAGATGTCGCTCAGGACCTGATAGGCCTGTTGATGAGAAGCATTGATTGCCATATTGCTTAATTCACTGCGTAAGGTGTGCAAGGACGAAGTTCTGAACTTGGTCCCAGGGGGTCTTCCTTCTTCCATATATGTTATACCTTTAGCTTCAAGGAATTATTTGTTTAGTTGAATTCTTATTAAAATTCTGAAAATTCTTGGAATGGGGGGAGTCAATTCATGCCCGAACAAATCTACACAACCAGTCAAGCTGAGTCGGGACAAAAGTGGTACATGAAGACTAATGCAGGTGATATGATACCATGGGCTCATCAGCGTCAGACTCGATCTGACTTCAAGCGGATCCATTCTGAGTAAGTCCTGATAGGGTGGTGATGATGCTGATGGTGCTGACCCACCTTGCAATGCCTATTTCTAGTCACAAATTATCAAACTTGCTCATGTCATTGCTACCTTTTCATCCCCTGAGACTTTTCAGGGGGTTTGACTAGTTTCTACCACACAACAAACCCCACTTGTGCGAAACATTGATCATGGTGCTTCTCGGTTCAGCCTGGTCACGGCGTATGATACTGTACTGCTCTCTGGCTCTGGTGCTTGGGTCGCTCAACTGGCGATCCTTCTGGACAAATGGTCGATATTGTCGCTGCAAACCTCACGAGCCCTGTTGGCCAAGTCACGAAGAATGGGCAAAGCTGAACGCATCGTTGAATGGACAACTGTCACGCGTACGACCATTGGCATCTGTTTGTCATGACCCTACTTTCAATCAGACAGCCTGTGCCGAATTGCGTCAGCTCGCAGTCGATAGTGGGTGGCGAGCTGCACAACCAGGCAAGTGAAGCAGACAATTGAACCATTGTCTTTCTCCCTTCCTCCAACTAGGCCGCTAGAGACAGAAGGGAACCCCCGGCTGATACAGCTAATAGGAGCATTGCAACATTGGGTGTGGGAAACGGGCACGAGTGTCAATGAGAGCTGCTTTGCGGAATCGCCGAGGGAGGAGGTCTGCCACCAAGGTCAGACCCCACTATATTCAGCTGTAGTGGCGTCATCGCAGGATGTTCAGGAGGTAGTTCGATTTGCAAGATCCCATCGCCTCCGTATGGTGATCAAAAATACAGGCCATGACGGCGCCGGACGCTCCGCTGCAGCAGCCTCCATGCAGATTCACATGCATCGACTGCAGAATATTACCTATCACAAAGACTTCCGGGCGACTGGGGGTCCCGTCGTGGCGGGGCCGGCGGTTAGCATAGGTGCGGGGGTCATGCATGGGCAATTGTACGCCAGTGGCTCCAGCCGAGGTCTCCTGGCGGTCGGTGGCGAATGCCCCACGGTTGGCGCAGCCGGTGGGTTTCTACAGGGAGGCGGAGTGTCAAGCTTCTTTAGCTATGTGCACGGATTGGCTGTGGATAATCTACTCGAGCTGCAGGTTGTCACAGCAGATGTAAGTCAGCCTTTCTTCGACGGTCTAGGTCATCCGTTTCACTAATACGGCGTTCTTTTGTACTATTAGGGAAGCTTAGTGGTCGCCAACGATTACCAGAATCAAGACCTCTTCTGGGCCTTGCGAGGAGGTGGGGGTGGGACTTTTGGTATCGTCCTGCGGGCTACACTTCGAGTATATCCAGATAACCCCGCCGTGGTGACAAGCATTTCTCTATCCGCGCCCCACAATGAATCAGGGCCCTGGATTGCAGGACTGACTAGCCTTCTGAGCACGCTCCAATTGATGAACGCCGCCAACGCCCCTGGCCAACTGATTGTGTGGTCTTCGTCGCCGACAGTCCTGCAAGCAAGCCTAGACGTGTATTTTCTCAACGCAACCGAAGCGTCAGGAATGGAGCAGCGAATTCGCCACCACCTTGCCCCTCTCAATTCCTTGCACTTGTCTTACAATCTCACTTCCAAGGCCAACCCTCGGTTGAGCTCAGTGCTTCGCACGGCCCCAGATGTTTACCCTGAGAACTATGGCATTTTGCAAGGTTCGATGCTCGTCTCGACCCGTCTATTCCATTCCCCCGACGGACCGAACCGGATGGCGAGGACAATTGCGCGTCTCCCCATGCGGCCAGGGGATCTTCTATTCACCAGCAATCTAGGAGGGGGGGTTGCTGCGGCTGACAGGGGCCTCAACAAGACCGCTATGCATCCGGCCTGGAGGTCTGCGGCACATCTGATCACATTCGTCCGGACGGTAGAGCCATCCATTGCAGGGAAAGCTGCTGCCGTAGACGAGCTCACCCGCGTTCAAATGCCGGTCCTATACTCGCTGGAGCCGATCTCTCGAGTATCCTACCTTAATCTGGCGGCGCCAAGCGAGAGGCATTTTCAGAACGTATACTGGGGAGAGCACTACGCTCGACTTGCTAGTATCAAGCAGAAAGAAGACAAGGATGGCTTGTTTATAGCCAAATATGGAGTTGGGAGCGAGGAATGGGATGAGGATGGCACATGTAGGAAGCCAGTTCACCCATTGTCGCGGGCTTGGGCGGTACTCGCAGGTGTGTTGATGTAGAGATTGGCAACCTTGTTGTAATGAGAATGTATGCATACCATACCACTGTTTGATGATTTGGACACTGGCCTCTTGCTGCAACTGTAGCTGTTGATCAATCTCGCTTCCGAGCTCAGAATCTCAATCATAAATTTTATATATTTCACCATTCAGAAAACATTCCTTTGGCTGTCTTCTCTTCTTTTATTGTCGTCTATAGTCTCTCCAATTGCAACCATGATTACGAAGGTTGAATCCACTATCCTCGACATTCGCAGCGTCGACACTTCTGAATCAATCTGTGATCAAGTCGTTCGAGGTCTGTCGACCGAACCCCGAACCCTACCAGCTCTTCTTTTCTACAGCACCAAAGGTCTTCAGCACTGGAATCATCATTCCCACCAACTCGAATTCTATCCCCGACAGGAAGAAATTCGCATTTTGAAGGACCATGCCCACAGCATTGCAAGCACTTTAGCTGACAACAGCGTGATTGTTGATCTTGGGAGTGCGTACGTTACTCTCTCTCTCTTTTCATCTCTTCCAATTTTCTTCTTCCTTAAAGGAGAAAACGAGGAAATAATCTATGTTTTTACTCCAAAAAGCACCCATAGCTAAGGCGAACACGCAAACAGAAGCTTGGACAAAGTCCTCCTCCTCCTAGAAGCCCTCGAAGCCCAGAAAAAGCCGGTCCGCTACTACGCTCTGGACCTAAGTGCAACAGAGCTCGCTACTGCGCTGGCCAGCCTCCCCACCGCGAGATTCCGCTACGTGCGCTGCGCCGCCCTCCACGGCACATTCGACGACGGGCTGCGCTGGCTCCGCGAGACGCCAGACATCCGCGACCAGGTGCACCACCTGCTTCTATTCGGCCTGACGCTGGGCAACTACTCCCGGGCGAACGCGGCGACCTTTCTGCGGCAGCTCGCCGACCAGGTCCTGTCCGCCCACTCGGCCGAGAGCTCCATCCTGGTAACGCTGGACAGTTGTAAGGTCCCCACGCGGGTGCTACGGGCCTACACGTGCGAGGGGGTGGTGCCCTTTGCTCTGACCTCGCTGGAGAACGCGAATCAGTTATTGGTGGGCGGGAGGGAAGGGGAGGAGAAGGCTGCATTGCAGGCACAGACCCGAAACGCATTTGACCCGAAGGACTGGGAGTACCTCAGCGAGTGGAATTATGTTCTTGGGCGACATGAGGCCTCTTTGATCCCCCGGACAAGCGATGTGTCTCTGGGACCGCCCTTGGAAGGCATCACGGTCCGGCGGGAGGAGAAGGTGCGGTTTGGATGTAGTTATAAGTACGATCGGGAGGAGCTGGAGACGCTGTGGGATGGGGCGGAGGTCAACATGGTCAATGAATGGTCCAGCCCGGGCTGCGGGGTGCACTTTTACGGATTGAAGATGAGGAGGAACCCGGAGGAGTGTTCGTAGTTCTTGGACTGTCGAGGTGTGGGAATAGAAGTGCGTTTGGTTCCTTAATTTTTCTCTTTCAAATTCAGTGTCACTATCATCAGTTTGAGAGAGCCTTCAGAAACCCGATAGCATATGGTCCATTTACGAATTAGGAAAACAGACGTAAGGAGATACATTGAGGCCTTAAATATGTTGCCTTTCTCCGTGAAATTGGATTCCAACACAGTTGTCTACCACTCTCTTTGGCTGAAACAACAAAATCCAAAACTCAGCTGTTCAATTGATCACAGCCAGCATTCGTTGTTTCTCACCACAAAATGTTCCAAAGTCTCCGGACCGACGCCCGTCACCTCGCGGGCTACATTGTTCAATCGGCCCTCCACGCCACCCTTAATCATGGTGTCCATAGTGGCTAGCATCAGCGCATCCTCCGAGGGCATTCCTGTTGATTCGAGCCGTTTGGCGAATTCGGCCTCGGAAAGATCCGTATGCGAGATCTCTCTTCCCAAATGAGACGAAAGAATCTTTGCCACCTGGACGGGAAATCTCGGTTATTCTACTGTTTACACATGGCAGAAAAGGGTATTGTTTTTCCAATGTACCTGATCATAAGTGAGAAGCTCGGGTCCGAGAATGATATGATCTGTGTTGTGAGAAATTGGATCCGTCAGGGCCTTGAAGGCGACCCGAGCAATGTCGTCAGCAGAGACGAATGGAATCTTGCCACTCCCCGTCGCAGAATACACTGTGTTCTCGTTTTTGATGGACATATATTGAGGCTCCTGGGGAGTAGAAAAGTTCTCTGTTTTGAGGGGCGCGTGAGTTGAGGAATTGACACGAATCAAACACTAAACCTAGCCCTCCACTGAATTGCCCATTGCGCTTCGATGAAGTCAAGTTCCCGGAAGAAATATGGGTAGAAGCAAGGTAATGCCAGAAAGAAAGAAAGAAAGAAGAACAAGAAGAAAGAGAAGACAAACTCACCCATGAACCACGTTGGTCGGAGCACCGCATACTCAATCCCGCCCAGCTTGGCCAAATACTCATGTACCTGACCCATAGCAGGCCCACCTAGGTCAATTGTGCTTGCACTGAGCAGCACAAACCGCCGGACGCCCCGGGGACGCGCAAAATCGATGAACCGGAGCATTGGGGGTGCAAGATCGAACACCGGCGGTGGAACTAGGTACACCGTTGAGATCGGTTGCATCCCCTCGGCTGAAGCATGGGTAAACGGAGTTTCATAGCTTTGTTCATTCAGCCAGTCGAACTGTGCCTGCTTGTGTGGATAGTTGGGGTCCACGGAGCGCGAGGCGACCAGGAAAGGGACGTTGGTGGCATGCAACAGGGAGGCGATTCGGCTGGAGGTCTTGCCTCGGCCACCTAGCAAAAGAGTCGTCATGGCGGGTTAGTGTCGGGTGAAAAGGAACAAAAAAACTAGTGGGTTGGTGGTTGAAGTTTTTGGCAATCCAAGAGATAACCATAAAGGTGTCACAACGTATATACGCAGGAGGCCAATACATATATAGTTCCTTGTTTCTCTCCTTTCTAGAGCATTTACTTATTGCCACGGATAATTGAACTAGGATTAATGACTATCTGCGACATTCCAATTCACTGTAAATCCGAATTACAAGGGTTATGGACCTACTGGACGTACCAACAGGGTTCATGTTACTATATGTATTCATATGCATGCCTGACTAGTGCATTTGCCACTAGGGACTCCACTTTTAGCCGTCTGACCAAAACATTTTGTGAACTATCGGGTACTCCGTAGATGCATGTCTTCGGTGAACATACACATGCCCCCCCTCCTCGACCCCCTCAGTCCTCTCACGCTAGCCGTGCCAGGCGCCTAACACAGGGTGTGTGTTGGGCTCTTGGCTCGCCTACAGGCCCAATCTCAGTGGCCGCCAAAAATTCGTTACTAAACGGATAATCGAGGTACCCCTTGTCTGAGAACGGGATGTAGAACGTATCGCGGTCATACGGTTGCAAGGGTATGCCATGCTTCAGCCGGTACGGGAGATCCGGGTTGGAGATATACAGTCGTCCAAACACGACAGCCACATTGGTATAGTCGCCATAGGTCTCGTCCACGACCCGACTAGCAGAGTCCGCGTCATAGCCACCTGCCAGGAGCACTGGCTTGCGATCGCCCCACATACGGACAAAGGTGAGATTGTCGAAGTCAGGATGCGTCTTGTCCTCAACCCACCTCGAGTTGGCGAGATGCAGGTAGGCGATGTCCATGTCGCGGAGCTGGGTGATGATGTGCTCGAACTGGGCCACCAGGTCTGGCATCGTCCCCATGCCCTGGAAGGTGCTCCACGGCGAGAGCTTTATGCCGACGCGGTCGGCGCCAATGGCGGCCACCACCGCGCGGGTCACCTCGAGCCCGAACCGCGCGCGGTTCTCTAGACTGCCTCCCCACTGATCCGTGCGCTGGTTACAGGACGCCTGGAAGAACTGATCGATCAGAAATCCGTTCGCTCCATGGAGCTCGACCCCGTCAAACCCCGCGGCCATCGCGCGGCGCGCTGCGTTCACGTACTCGGCGATATACGCCTGGACTTCGCCCTCGGTCAACGCACGAGGCGTCGGTTGGTCGGGCTCCACCGGCACGGGGCTGCTGGAGGTCAACTCATGCCCCGCGGCAGTTAGCACCTCCGCCTCTGCAGAGCGCCCGGTAGCCCAGAGCTGAAGCCAGATGTAGGACCCCTTGGCGTGGACCGCGTGGACGATCTTCTGCCAGGCTTGCTCTTGCTCCTGAGTCCAGATTCCGGGAACGTTAGAGAACCCTTTAGCCTGGGAAGAGATAGCGGTGGCTTCTGTGATCAGAAGGGTCCCTGGAACAGAGGCCCGTTGGGCGTAGTACTCCTTCACAAATGCCAGCGGGACGCCTTCATCATCGGCTCGAAAGCGAGTCATAGGAGATAGGACCAGCTTGTGGTGCAGGTCACATTTGCCCACTCGAAGAGGAGTAAATAGATTGTTTGACTTCGTCATCTGAGGCAATATACGTCTTCAGGTGATAGAAATTATGTGTTAATGGTCGTATAAATTCTGAAGGGTAACGATTGACACCTCACTTCCGCCTGCCGAACAGATATATATTTCGTAGGTGCTTTCTTGACCAGTCTAGCACACTATTATGAAAACGGCTTTGTGAAATGTGCCTGCTAACATTCCCCTCGTCCGAATCATATGCACATGCACATGCACCCTAGCATCCTAGTATAGAAAAAGGCTCGGTCAAATGTGCCTGGTGGCAAGGCCCTCGTCAAAAGCACATGCACATGCAGGGTGACGAGTATACTACTTCAATCCGGCGCCTGTATAACTGGCCGACACATGAGGTGAAAATGTCTCAATACCGAAGCAACGTCACAAATTGTATTCCGGTCGTCTGTCACAAACGCAGCGGGCTAGCGTCAGCCCTAGCCCTGGTTTGCCTTCCCAAGCATGACACCCCATCTTTTCATCCATTCAGGGCTCTGAACAATAAATTTACATCACCCACTTTGACTGAACATAGACCAACCTAAATCCAATGGCATCTGTCACTGGCGGCGTGTTCGCCATCACGGGGGGTGCGTCCGGGATTGGCGCCGCCGTCTGTCGTCTACTAGCCCAGCGTGGAGCCGCGATGATCTGGGTCGGGGACATCTCCAGCAACCGATTTGATGAATTGAAACAATGCATCCACCAGGAGAACACTGTCACCCAACTGCACTGCCAGACATTGGACATCACCTCGTCGGCCGAGGTAGAGAACTGGATGTGCGAAATAATCGCAACCTGCGGTGACCTCCATGGGGCCGCCAATATCGCAGGTATCGCCCAGGGAGCGGGCCTCAGGCAAGCGCCTACGATCCTCGAAGAAACCGACGCCGAATGGCGAAAGATCATGAGTGTCAACTTGGACGGTATCTTCTATTGCACACGCGCGGAGGTGCGCGCCATGAAAGGTCTCCCTAGACGGGATCGTAGTATCGTCAACGTGGCTAGCATTGCGGCTTTTGTGCACACCCCGGATGTCTATGCGTATGGAACATCGAAGGGCGCTGCGGCTTATTTTACCGCCTGTGTGGCACCAGATGCAATTCCCCTCGGAATCAGAGTCAACACTGTTTCTCCAGGTAAGGATGCCTGTTTTCAAGATGGGGAGATTTGGAAATTCAGGTTGGGATGATTGCATGCATATTTACTAATGTGGAATCATTTTCGCGTATCGTAGGTATCACGAATACTCCGCTCCTTCCGCAATTCGAGCCAAGGGCTAAAGGATTAGATGAAATACGGCAATTATACGAGAAGCAGGGTCTTCCGTTGATTGAACCTGAGGATGTAGCTAGGACAATTGTGTGGTTGCTTGCCGAGGACTCGCGACCGGTGTACGGGGCTAATATCAATGTTGGCGCACCAATCTGAATACTGCGGGCCGATAGCCATTTGCCAGCAGTCTCTTGGTATCAAACTTGCCTATCAAGGTTACTGCAATATGAAATTTTTGTCTTGTTGATCCTCTAGTCTCACGCTGGAATGTCCCTTGGACGGGAATTCTATAGCCAAATTGTTTGTCTACGGTATCTACCAAATGTAAAGGCCCAAAAGGTGGACAACGTTTCGCTTTAAGCGAAGTAAAATCAAATTACACACGAACCCACATTTTGAGATATCCCTATTTCACCTTCTCGATGAAAGCCTTTAAGAAGACCAATCCTCCGTTCAGCTTAACTCTACGAATGATCAGATTCAGGCAAAGAATATCAAACACTAAGATTGCTAAAGCAAATGGATGTATCTAAGACCGTTGCTGAGCAGCCAGGTCAAGCTTCAATAATCTACGGGAAGCAAGACATTACATTGTTCTCGTATGTTAAGAACGACCTCGGTGAATATATTAGAGTAAGCAAACTCTATGAGTCTTAGAGTATTAAATAGGGGAACTTTTTAAATTTTTACAGTGAATGAGTTAGTAGTATAGCTTCCTTAACGGCTGACCCAAACCCCGAAACGTCCCTCTCTGCGTTCTATCCATCTCCTCTCTATATAGCATGTCGATTGGGTCACAGTGTCGTGGTCCAGATCCTGCTCAACTTTGGGGCTAGAACAGACGTCTGCAGAGACAACATCTACACCCCGTTTTATACGGCGGTCGGCCATGGAAACAAAGAAGTCGTTCACATTCTCGCCACCAGAGATCCATCATTGATTGAAGCAAAACAACCGATGAGACCAATCTATCTCGCCTCCATTCTCGCGGCATGGAGTGGCGTGGAGGTCTTATTAGAACATGGGGCGTGTCCCAACGGAGGGTTACAGAGTGGCCAGACTGAGGGCGAGTGGGCGCCACTGGTCGCGGCTGTGGAGTCCGGTTACACCAAGTCCGTCCGGTTACTGCTGGACGGCGGTGCCGATCCAAACATGACCGGCCCATCGGGCCAGGATACACCTTTGTGGTTTGCATGCATTCGGGCTGCGAGTGTGGAGTGTGTACAACTGTTGTTAGATCATAGGGCAGATCCAAATGACCCGGCGATTGTGCCCCCGCTGTTGATCGAGATGATGAACTCGGACACATCCCCTGATGCTGTTTCTTTAGCCATCCTCGAACTCCTGTCGACGAGCTCGGTGCCATTGCAGATCAACGTGAAGGATCCATATAGCGGCGTAACCCCCTTGATGATCGCGGCTCGCCAGGGGAAAACGGGCCTGGTGCGATGGCTTTTGGCGAAAGGCGCAGATTTTAGCTTGCTCGATAACCATAATTGCAGTGCACTCTGGTATGCCATCAAGAAGGGGGTCTTGAAGGGGGTCCAGGAGATCATCCAGCGGGACCCGCCCCTTGACATTCTTACAAAAGATGGGGCAACCTTGCTCGAGGCAGCTCTGGAGAACACTGCTATTCTGGAACTTCTTCTCGATTCCGGGGCCCCAGTCAATCTTCGCAACGGAGACTCCCTGTCTGCAATCAACGTGGCGGTTGTGCAACAGAACGTGGAGGCCGTCAAGTTGCTTCTGAAGCGGCAGCCAGATCTAGAGTATCGTGACACAGCCGGCTGGACACCCATCCTGGATGCAGTAGGATGTGTTGGTAACGCTGAGATTACTCGTCTTCTGGCAGAAGGCGGAGCCAACCTGCAGAGCACCAACCGGTCCGGTCACGGTGTGCTTCACTTTGCGATGAGCCAAGATCCTAGCATCCTCCAAGTGTTACTGGAGTTTCGAAAGTCCATTGATCTCGAGATGCGTGATCAGGACGGCAATACTCCACTTCTATTGGGGCGTGATGACCATCTTGTAAACATCCGACTACTTTTACGTGCCGGGGCCGACATCAATGCCCAGAACCGCAACAAGATCTCATCCCTGATGAGCGCCGTGATCTCTCGTCAACGGGAAACGGTCGACCTCCTCTTGAAACAGCCTGATGTAGATGTCAACACCACTTGCCCTTCCATGGGGACCGCCTTGGTTCTTGCCTGTCGCCGATTGGACGTGGAGCTGGTGGTCCGGCTGATCGCTGCAGATGCGGACTTGGAAGCGTCTGGTCCACTCACCACCCCGTTGATGGCTGCCTGCTTTCCCTATAGCATCTATGGTTCCGGGGAAATGGAGAGTAGTCACCAAATCCTAGCTCATCTGTTGTCCCACGGGGCCAATATTGCTACCACTCACCCTTCCATCTTTTTCAACGTCCTCTCCGTAGCCTGCCTCGCTGCCACTCCCAGGACGATCAACTACCTACTAGACAAGGGCGCCTGGACGCAGATTAAAGACCCTCTGGGCCGTCTACCTATTCATTTTGCCGCAGCCAACGGCCTAGGGAATTTTCAGGTCACCATGTTGGCCACCGAGGAGATGGACGTGATGGCTGCCGATCAGATGGGCAAGAATGCGCTGCATTGGGCCGCCCAATTTGGCCATGCCCAAACCATCCATGAAATTTTGTGCTGGGTCGACCAGCACTCGCAGCAGAAACGAGACATGTACGTCAACCAACCGGACCAGGATGGCTGGACACCGCTGTGCTGGGCGGCACGTCCGTTTAGCGGGGGCTGGGCAGCTCATATGCAGACCGAACCCCGGGATTATCTGGAGACAATCCGCCTCTTACTCCAAAACGGAGCAGATCGCACCTGGGAATGCTCCATGGGTATCGGATCCACGGCAGAGAGACTAACGCCGCTGAAATTAGCGGATAGATGCGATGCTGACGACGAAATCCTGCAGCTTCTCCGTTGCCCCCCCCCCCCCCCCCCCGAGCACGAGGAGGTTGCAAATGATGACCACCATCATCCCCAGCGGAAATACACTTCTCTACGCTCCGTCACTTGTGATATTTGCCTCATTGTAAGTGCAACCCCGGTCATCTGTCATTCCGAGTTTTTCTTACCACTGGTCCTTTCCCGTGACTTGTAGACAATCTTTGGCCTTCCATATAAGTGCCAATCATGCCCCGACTTCGATGCGTGCCAGAAATGCCACACACATATAGACATGTACCACAAGCATTATCGGGCTCTGGACCAACAGCCCCACTTATTTGAATTACACCCGGACAGCCAGGAGTTCCAAGAGCCACCCAACTCTCCTTCTCTCTCTGGTGCTTCTTCTGCTTCTTCTCATCTGCCTGCTCCTGTGCGGCAAAAGGATGAGAATTCTCACGGTGACAACTCGGAAGATGATCATCCAGAAAGTAGTGATTCCTAGGCGCACGAGCGAATAGAGTTGGAGCTGGAATAGGTGTGGAGTCCTCCCGAGGTAGAACTTGAATCAGCGTATTTCGAATGCACAGGAAGGCATTGTGTTCAAACATTTGAAGAAACCAGAATATTTGACGGTCTAGATGTCATTACATAAGTAGTGTGTAGACCTGGCTGGGTAGACCTGGCTGAGCCCATTGGGTCAGCCTATATTCTTATGTAAATTTATAAACATCTTGGCAAAAGCAGGGGAAAATACATTGGTTTTCTAGTTACAGAGCTATTATTATTTTATCAGAGAGAAATCAGATAACCGGGTCCTGCTCCCAGTATCCGTACAAGAACCAATCCTCAATCTACAAACCTTTGACGACGGCCTTCACTATATCCGGGATCCTGACTATCACTATGTGGCTCCTACGTATTATACGTACTATCAAGGAACTTATCTACCTCTAGCATTAGAGAAATCCACATCCTTCACAACGCGCCCCTTGTTCCTCCCAGAAAGCATTAATTCAAGGCGATATCCGTACAAACTATCAGCGGTTCTTTACACATAGTAAAGGGTGCTGTCGAATACCAAGTCCGAATACATTGTTGAAACAGCGGGTTTTGTCATTTTAGTTAAAGTTGTTAATATTAGTTATCTATACCATACATTTTTCGTACACCAGCTTTCTATCATTATTTGTTCGATTGATTGTGATAGGATCCTATAAAGGATCCTATCTTAGGGATTCTTTTCTTTCCTTTCTTTTACTCTCTATACTTAGTATTCTCGTTAAAATACACTCTTTCCTTTAAAGAACTAGCTAGTTACACTTTCTTTGTTAGGTAGAGGCAAAGTGTAGGCAGCTCACGCTAATGACATTTGGTTTCTTGCCGCTGGCTACTACACTTTGTGTCCATTAAGGCTGAACTGAATCTCCCTAGTTAGCGAACATTCTTTCTAATCTACATTATCCCGCTTTACACCGTATGATATATATGGTGTTTCCTCCTGAAATCGGTGAGATCTTTGTAATGTTACAGTGTTCGGGACCCATAAGTACCCATCCTAACAAATCCCCTTCCTTTCTTTCTTATCCCCCTCTTTGTACTTAGTATTTTGTATAAAATATACTCCTTTTGCTTAAATGATCTAGCAGATAATAAAAGCCTCATAAAATTGTTAAGTCTTTTGGAAGACAGATGGTAGTTGGTACAAGAAATTTTCTTTGGAGTATTTGCACAATTGTGCCGTATACGTTTCGAGAAGCAACCCATTGTGATCAAAAAAACATGCCTATAAGAAAAAAATCAGTACGGGAGGGGAAGGACACGTCAGCGGCTCAGGGGCGTGCAGGATATTCAGGTGGTGTTCAGGACATTCAGGTCAATGGGCTGAATGGGCTGAAGAGTAAGTAGAGCGGCAAGAGGGACGTTCCAAAGAACAAAAAAGAAACAAAAAGCATGAAAAAACAAAAACATACAACAGTGAGGATTCGCTGGTGGTCACCCACCCAACTACTAACTCACCGGCGTGTGGCTTAAGTACGGCTGAGCGGACGGGAAGCCCTGTTTTCCACACCCTATGGTCGTATGTACCAGGTAATTTGTAGGGGAGAATGATAGAATGCAATCAGTTGAGAGTTCAGGATGAGAAAGGTGAGTGCGCGATGTGAGATTTCTACGGGAGCGGGCTGTACATCAACCGGGGTGCTAACCACCATACCGATGTCTTCCACCGTACACTGTACTCGGCGGCCATCAATCAACGTGCAGAGATCCTTCGCATTATGCCGCATGCGAAGAGTTTTGGTTTCTTTGGATCTGTGACATTCATCTGCCTCTCGGGATATACAAAAGATGTAAACTTCGAAGATTATTTATATCCTATCGCTCTTTTCGCTGGAAACATAAGTGCAACTTTTGACCATCCACGCAACAATTTGGCAAGGCATACCATCCATGCGGAATTTCGAAAGTCCTCAGATTTTCGGAATGATCTGTCGAGAATTGTTTTATCTCGTCCATCAAACCAAGGGGCCTACTAGGGGCAACTCCAATCGTATCGACCACCAAAGTGATAGACTGCTTGGCAAGTTGGAAACACCGGGCGAGTACAAAGTCAAGCTCCTCCATGGAAAGATGCTGTAGTGCCGACATACAGAATATGTGGTCCACCATTTGTGTCCTTTTCGCCATATATACTTCCATCCTTTCAGGAACAAGTTCGGTATACAAATTGTTTTGACGGCAGATATCCAACGATTTCTTGGATATGTCAATTCCCCTCATTTCCGTAATTTGGCTATCTGGATCCGATTTCAGATGGTGGCCGACAGTTCCTGTTCCACACCCAAGATCAAGTGCGGTTCCTTGATAAGATCTCGTTGTAATACAACTGGCAGTGTCGGTTGCTGAAACCACGCCAGCATGAGATTGAGCCAAAGAGTCATAGAAGTTTGCCACTTCAATAAAATCATCCTCACGCTTACCAGGATGCTTGAGAAAGTAATTGGTGATATAAGTGTTGACAACGGCTCGATAACTCCCAGGAAACCCGTCTTGGATATCTGTATCCTCAAGCTGGGATCCAACAGGATAAAAGAAAACAGGAAGCGGATCAACTTCAATGACATAAGCTCTCCCATCCCGACCAATACGCATATCAACATCACAACCCATGTAGTTCGTATACATTTTGTTCGCTGTGAAAGCCTCGACGGCCGTAGCTTGCAAGTGCTTCCAGAGACGCGGGTTGTCGTTCTCGTTCAACAGCTCATATCCAGAGGTCTCATCAAACTTCAAATCCAAGGTCAAGAATCGGCACTGGCCAGAAACCTGTCTGTATTTCGCACGTTGCGGAATGAGAGGAAAAGGACTCTCCCCCATAGCAATGACCACAACAGAGTACTCCTCTCCGTCGATAAATTCCTGCACGACAAGATCCGAACTATCCCTCCCTTCGGCTTCCCGAGCATCGGCATATTGGTCCGGGTCCACGTATCCAAGCGCTTGCGCGCGCAATACGCGCACAGAACGCATCAACTTATTCAATCTCTGAATACAGCGACCCAGCTGATCTTCGTTCTGACATAAAGAATGCTCATCAATGAACATACTCCCATAGCTCGACGCAGGCTTAACGAATAAAGGAAATTTCGTCGTCCCTGGAATCAGGGGACTCCCGGCGCGTTTCGCCTTTTCAAAGAAGTCCCGTTTAGACTGTTCGCGCTCGGAGCTTTGGATACCAGCGCTAGGTAGGTTGAGAGACTCAAAGTATCGAATTGCCTCGATTCCAGCTAGTGAGTCGTCGTTAGTTCCCCACATAAAATTTAAATAGAAGTCATGGCCTTCGCGGACTGCTGCATCTATTTGGGCTTTCGCTGTGCTCTTATGGATGGTGTAGTGGGATATTTTGTGCTGGGTGATGTGTTGGCCGGGGTTCATGCATAGCTTTTGTGACTCGCCGGCTGAAGCTTGGAGTTCTTCAAAACATGATTGAAAGACACAGATCTTCATATTTAGAGATTTTGGAGGTATGGTGGTATTTTGTGTTTTTCTAATAGCCTAGGCTGACCGAGTGATCGCGTGCCGATTCCCCCAACCTATATTGAACCCTCGTCTGTGCAAGATCGACGATACGTGATAGGTCATATTCTTCAGAAGCCCCATCATACTTTCCTATCCATTAGTAGCTGTTCATACATTTCTAGTCAACCAAACATGGAAGTGATCGGAAGATAGTGGAAAGGCACCGCACCACCAGGATCCAGATCTCAGCTGCTGTGGCCAACGCCACGATTCCTCACCTTATGACGTACAAGAATAATCACGTATGTGGCCTTTGTCCTTGAGGACCTTTCTATGTACAGCCTTGGATTTTTTTACCGGGTGTGGTATATGGGTATGACTCGCTAGCTTTATAAAAAGAACAGTATAAGTCAAAATATCCAAAATATCCAAAATAACTCAAAATAACTCAAAATATGCTTCACAACAAACTACTCGGAAAAACAGCCGTGGCCGTAGCAAAAGCAACTATTCCTTCCTCGCGCCCCACGAACCCATTGCGCTCATTCGTCCCCGCCTTAACCGAAACGCGACTGCTATCCAACCCCACAATCCCAGCAACAGATTCCCGCATAGCATCACGGTGTTCACTAATTCGCGGCTTCTCGCACACAAAGCTTACATCACAATGTGTAATAATACCACCGCCCTCCTTGACAAGCTCAGCCGCATGTCTAAGGAACTGATCAGACGAAGCTCCCTTCCACCGTACATCCTTCGGCGAGAAGTGGTTTCCAATATCCGCGGCGGAAATCGTGCCAAGGAATGCATTTGTCAAAGCATGCAGTCCGACATCGGCATCGGAGTGACCGAGAAGTGTGGAAGTGTGCGGGATCTTTACACCACAGAGTGTGATCTCATCTCCGGGGACAAGACAATGCGTGTCATACCCGTGACCAACTCGGACATCGGGTACCGAGGCGAGTACCGGGCTGTTGGCTAGTAGTAGTCTTTCTCCTTCTTTGAAATCATAAGAGTAGGTCAATTTGATGTTCTGTGAATCGCCTTGTACGATGCGAACAGGCAGTCCGGCTTCCTCCAAGAGTGAAGCGTCATCCGTGTACGATGAAGTAGAAGTAGCTGCCATTTCGTGAAGGTGCAGGATTGTCTGTAATATAAATGCCTGCGGAGTTTGGGCGCGGAAAAGGCCATCGC